AATTATTAACTTTTAAACTATTATTTTAAATATTAACTATTAAAATCTTTAATGGTCATTTGTCAGTTCTCTGGGGGAAAGAATTCAGTGTGTGACTCCTCTTGTACCTGCTTCAGACGTCTGCTAACTCCCTCTGTCTGATGGCGGTCTGTGTTACCCTCTGGCGAATAACCGTCGATGAGCTGCTGCTCTGTTTCGGCTCCTGACACCTCTCCTTTTCGCCCTCTTGTTTCACAGCCTGCGATGATTTAAACTCTGTTATATTACTGTATTGCAAGGCAGTTACCATAGACCTTCGTTTTTTTGGTTTGTTTTCTAAAACTCCCTGTAGAAAGCCTTTGTCCCTTGTGAACATCCCATCAGCACAGAGACCTGAATCCGTGTAAGTCTCTCTTCCTGTAGATGTGTGTCATTACTTACTTACCTACTGTCCTCACACTCCTGCCATCCCCCCACGCCCCAATTTAATGTTTTGTGAACATTACTTCATGCCTTTCCTCGGTTTACTGAGTTACTCCTGAGTGCCCCTAAGGACGCTCTAAGAAAGAGCATCATCTCTCCCTTTTTATGTGCATTAACTCATGTAATCCCCACAACATCTCTGTGAAATGCTGTTATTGCTGAGTTCCTAGTGTTTGCATTTTATTTTATTTTATTTTTAAAGATTTTATTTATTTATTTGACAGAGAGAGAGAGACAGCGAGAGCAGGAACACAAGCAGGGGGAGTGGGAGAGGGAGAAGCAGGCTTCCCGCTGAGCAGGAAGCCCGATGTGGGACTCGATCCCAGGACCCTGGGATCATGACCTGAGCTGAAGGCAGACGCTTAACGACTGAGCCACCCAGGCGCCCGTTTGCATTTTATTGATGAGGGAACTGGAGTTGAGTGTTTATGTCACACTTTTCAACTACACTCAGTCTCTAAAACTGGAGTATGCTTTTTTTCCTCTTCATTCCCTTCAACATTCTGCCCAGTTAGTTCCTCACCCTCAGTAAGTACTCAATAAATAGTCAATTTGTTGGGTAAGTAAATGAATGAATGAGCAGATGAATGAATAAGATAGTACCTGGCGGGCTCCTTATGGGTGTGTCAAATGTTTTCCTTCAAAGAACTTGTTTCTGTGGCCTTTGTGAAGGCCTGTGGCATAAAAGCATAATTCAAGAGTATTTTAGAGGTGGGAGGAGTGGGTCTCTGAAGTTTTCACCACTGAGCTCTCTTGTGTTAATACTTGGCACCATAGCACATAATGGGGTAGGATTTAGTAAAGGCCAAATACGAAAGTGAAGAAGACAGTACATTGGAACACGGTCACTAAGGGCCTGGTCACTGGCCTTTGGCTGTGATGGCAGCATATTTACTTCTTACGGGTAGAAGAGGGAAGCAAGGTGCAGAAAAGCACCTGTTCCAGGAGCAGGATGTAGAACATGTACATGTGTGTTCTAAAGTTTGTTTTGTTAGCTAAAGGTTTAGTCAGAACCAAGTTAAACAGGCACGGTGCCCACCCTTTGTTTCTTTTACCTGCTTGAGTAGCTGTTTCATATTTTATTATTTGGGACTTCATTTTTTGAAAAGAAGTTCAGTTTCATCAACACCCATTTGCCGTCGGAACTTGTGATTTATTGTCAAGTGTTGTGACAACCAGGATGAATCAGTCCTTGTGATTAGTGGTTTTACGTAGGAGCAGAAAGGACAGAGACCCATCCAGAGTGTTTTCATGTTAACAAGCTGCAAAATGTTTTGTTTTATTTTGTTTTCCCCACCAAAACTTCTAGTCTTCTTAAGCAGAAGCAACAGATAATTATGAAATATCGTATCTATAATTTTGTAGAACCTGGTTATTTGATAGATGAATCTTTTCATATCTATTTTCCTTATTGACTGACTACATTTTATTTTATTTATTTATTTTTAAAGATTTTATTTATTTATTTGAGAGGGAGTGAGAGAGAAAGCATGAGCAGGGGGAGGGGCAGAGACAGAAAATCTCAAGCAAACTCCATGCTGAGCATGGGGCTCAACACAGGGCTCAATCTCATGATCCATGAGATCACAACCTGAGCTGAAACCAAGAGTTAGATGCTTAACTGGCTGAACCACACAGGTGCCCCAACTGACTACACTGTAGTTTAAATAATTCTCATGCTTCTTGGCCATTGTAGACCTAGTTATGAAGAAAAATACAACACAAAGTGGAGTAACTTTTTAGAATGTTTATGAACTAGGCCAAACTGATTGCCTCTCTTATGTTTATTGTTTCAAATCATCAGCGATGCAGACTTCTAGGCATTTGTTATGTTATGCTGCTAACTCCCAAGGTTGCGTCTCAAAACATCCTTTCCTTCCTGAGTATTCTCCTCTTTCTGCTAAGCTGACATTCAGGTCCTTGATGCTGGGTAATGGAGGCTGTCTCACTCCAAAGCAAGCGCTGTGCAGCAAAAGACCATGATAAAGAAAAAGGCCAGAATAGTCTGGCTTTTCCAAAATGGACTTTGGCATACACTCAAATTACACTTAGTTCACCAAAACTAAGCACCAGTCTTGTGCAAGCCACAGTTTTCATCCTCAAAGCTTAATGTTAACCACATCAGTCTTCTTGGTGCATGCAGCCACAGACCAGCCCCCCTCCCCCCCCCAATCAGGTAGGATTGTGGTAGGAATCGTGTCCTCCTTCTGTAGCCTCTGTAAAATGAAGCTGATGAAAAAAGGCATCAATGCTGGTGAGGTTTAAAATCAATTACCAGGAAGGAATGTAAGAAATCTTATTAATCTCCTGTTTATTCAAAATAAATAATTTAGTTGCCTTATTTTGACCTTCTGCTCCAAGAGGGTCATTCTTATGAACTTGGTGTGTCGTGGTTACTCATTAAATCCTTATCTCTTATAAACTCCTTTGACTTGAGACTTTGACGAGGCCAGAACTCAGTCATCCAGCCAGGATACATTTCTAGGGAATTTCACACCATACTGCCTTACTTTACCAGGCTCCAGTTTTGGCAAAAGATTTCACTTTAGGTTTAGCTTTCCACATATAAGCATGGATACCTAATTTGTTGGCCGATTTCGCTTGCTATGGACGCCTACATGCATCTGACTTTTGGAACACTAGCAGCATTGTGTTCTCAGTGCATCATCAGTTGGTCATCTGGGGCTCCCTAAAGAACAGTTCACATTAGAAGCACATTTGGAGCAATGTTCATTTAACAGTTCCACAAATGTTTTTGTACGTGGAACACGAAGAAGACTCCCAGTGATAAGTAAGTCAGACACCCACATTGATAATAATAGCTCACGTTACGAAGTTTTCACTGTGCCGGGCACTGTCATAAAGGCTTCATGCGTCTTCTTCATTTCATCTTTGCATCAGCCCCATGGGGCACATCCTGTTCGTAGCCTCGTCCTACGATAACATATCTTACTCCAGGTCACCCGATGGAGAGGTGGTGGGGCCTGAATCTGAGGGCTCCTCTGCAGAACCCATGCCCTTACCCATCTCTGCATGGCTCATTGTAGAAGCATTGCTTCTGCCACCACGTTTGGGGGAGAGCAGGTTCCTGTTCCCACCGTGACGTCTGGACTCCCAGGTCCCCTAACTCCTCATCACCCACTATGACTGGCATTTCCACAGCTCCCTGGCCTTTCCTAAGTCTCATGCCTGCTCCTTACCATCTCCCCCCGCACCCCCTGTTGCTCCCAGCATGAAGACTCCCAGAGCTGGTGTACGTGGTGCCCTGCACAGGCCCCTGCTCATCTCTGACCATTGCCCCACATGCATTCCCTGTTCCAGCCGCACTAAATTCACTTCCGTCCCTTGACTATGCCTGCCAAAGGCTCTTTTTCTGTGGGGCCTGTTCACGAACTGTTAATAGCGACACCCACGGCTTGATAGCAGCTGCTCTAGCCCCTGGCCCTGTTGGCTTTCACTGGGCTGATCTCTCTTCATCTTTCAATCCTCAGCTTGGAGGGCACTTGATCCAGGAGGCTTCCCTAACCCCCAGATCTGTAAGGGGCCACCCTCCTGTGCTTCCCAGGGCACCCTCACTTCCTAGTCCTAGGATTCTGTACTCATACCTGCTCGCTGTCTAGATCCCTCCTCCGGCGACTGCCCCATATAGGTGGGGATCATGGCTGGCATGTTCACACCTGTCCTCTCCACACCTCTCACAGTGTGTGGTAAATAGGAGGCACTTGATGAGTGATGAATGAGCAGTGACTGGGTCGTCACTGTTGAGAGTAGCAACAACAGGCCTCAGGGATGTGCACCCCGAGGCAGCATCAGAGTTTGTGACTACAGAGCTGGGCCGCTGTCACTCGCTCACGTCCCCTGGTGGAGGGTATGCCTCTGCTTTGAAGTACTAGCTTCAGCTCCATGCATGTATCTGTTGGGCTCAGTCTGTGCTCTTCTGGTCTGCTGGCTCAGCCTATTCTCTGCTTTGATTGTCACACCTCCAGGAAAGGCCTCCTTCACTTGCTCTGGCAGGTGTGGAGCTGCATGGTGGGGGGAGAGGGGGATAAACAATTATCTGAGCAAGGACTTCCAAGAGCAGAGCCTCTCTGGCTGCCCTGGCTTTGCCTTCCCCGGGGAGTCCTCACCCACAGGGAGCAGAAGCCTCAGGCAGGGGAGCCACCAGCATCTTGTAGGGATCGCTATTCTGGGGTCAGGACCGGCTACAGACATAATGAAAACCTCTTCCTGCAGCAGCAGCTCCTCCGCACTGCCTTCCTCCTTCCTCCTTCCTCCTTCCGCTCCCCTGGGCGGCCCTCTGCATCAGCATGGAGTGCCAGCCAGGGCCTTCCCCGCTCACTGCAGGCAGACTCACAGGCCATCCGTTGTGCTCTCGGGAGAGCCCATTCGAGCAGCTCCAGGGAACGGGCCTTTCCATGCACTTCTTTGACGAAGCCAGAAATAAGCCTACCAGCATGGAGACTCCAAGTTAGGTCAGAAATAGCACTTTTCTCTGGTTAGCCCACAGAGGTTGCATTCTTTGACTCTCCCAAGGCAAAATGGCAAGTGAGTTTAGTGTCTTCTGTGACAGAGTCTAAGGAATTCACACAAAGGTGCTTTTACTCCTCTGTCATATTCCAGTTCATGCTTCCATTTCAAGTTGATACATGGACTTAGTTGTGACTGTGATTGACCCTGTACACTGTGTATTTTTGTTGGAGGAAAAAAAGACGTATGGAAGTTCTGGACCTTAGTTAAGAGTGAGTATTTCATGGTCTTCTTTAGGGTGAGTTAATGTCCAAAGTTACTTATCTAAGTCTTTCGATTCCCACCTATGATTTGGCTGTCCTCTAGGATCTCTCTAGGTGACTTAAAAACACACATCATATAGTATTTTTATGAGGAGAAAGGGAGATGAGGAGAGATTGAACGAAGAAATGGGGGTGTAACCATAACATGATGAAGGATAATTAAGTAATCCTCAGGTTGTTTAATTAATTTTTTTAAGTAATCTCTAATCCCAGCGTGGGGCTTGAGCTCATGATCCTGAGATCAGGAGTCACATGCTCCACCGACTAAGCCAGCCAGGCACCCTCCCTTTTTTAAGTAATTACTTTTTTTTTTTTTTAAGATTTTATTTATTTATTTGACAGAGAGAGACACAGTGAGAGAGGGAACACAAGCAGGGGGAGTGGGAGAAGGAGAAGCAGGCTTCCTGCAGAGCAGGGAGCCCGATGCGGGACTCGATCCCAGGACCCCGGGATCATGACCTGAGCCGAAGGCAGACACTTAAAGACTGAGCCATCCAGGTGCCCCAAGTAATTACTTTTAAAGCATTTATTAAACTATACTGAACATAAGCACCTATGTGGGTTTAGGAGTGTAGACCCCTCACCTCAGATGTTTCCGTGATGGCTTTTCTTTTCTTTTCTTTCTTTCTTTCTTTTTTTTTTTTTTTTAAGATTTTATGTATTTATTTGACAGAGAGAGACATAGCGAGAGAGGAACAACAAGCAGGGGGAGTGGGAGAGGAGAGAAGCAGGCTTCCTACCGAGCAGAAAGCCTGATGTGGGGCTCGATCCCAGGATTCTGGGATCATGACCTGAGCCAAAGGCAGCCGCTTAACAAAGGACCGAGCCACCCAGGCGCCCCACTGAGCCACCAAGGCGCCCCCTGTGATGCCTTTTCATTGCCACTTTCTCCTGAAGCTTAAACTCTCCAAGAAAGGGACTTTCTTTTGTTCTTGACTCTATTCTTCAGCTATAGCCGACCCCAGGCCTAAAACAAATGTTTATTGAACAAATTACATTTCCACTCCCCTCAACAGATTTGCAGCGTGGTGAACTTTCAGTAAGGAGTAACAATGGATTCATTTAAATAAGATTTGTTTCCTTTTCAGAAATTGCTTGAGTTCTGCCTGGAAAAGCTGCTGCTTAGTATTTTCCCAGCAGATAGTTCTTCTGAAGACCTGGAGCAGGGACCTACCTGCCTGTTAGAGCTGCCTAACAGTGTAGCATACTTTAGTGTGTTATTTCAGCCTTTAATAAGAATTATAAAGATGTTGGTTAATTGTCCATTTAACTATTTTTTTAAAAGATCTTATTTTTATTTATTTTTTAAAAAAAGATTTCATTTATTGACAGAGAGAGAGAGTATGAGCAGTGGTGGGAGCGGCAGGCAGAGGAAGAAGCAGACTTTCCGCTGAGCAGGGAGCCCGATGCAGGACTTGATCCCCGGACTCCAGGATCGTGACCTGAGCTGAAGGCAGTCACTTAACCAACCGAGCCACCCAGGCGCCCCAAAAAGATCTTATTTTTATTTATGAGAGAGAGAGAGAGTGGGGGGAGGAGCAGAGTAAGAGGGAGGGGCAGACTCCCATCTGAATGCAGAGCCCAACTTGGGGCTCGATCTCAGGACCCTGAGATCATGACCTGAGCCGAAACCAAGAATCAGATGCTTAACCGACTGAGCCACCTAGGTGCTCCCCCCCCTTTTTTTAATGAGGATTTTGTGAGAGAATAAAATTATCATAGACTACAGCTTGACAAAAGCTGCATGTTCTTGCTATGAATGTTTAGATCCAACAGAAAACTGATACTTGATCATCTGTATCAAGGGAGGTTTTAATTACTCCTGTGGTGCACATTACGGTTTCACTTTTCGTGGCAGTTTTGCAATCCTGACATAGGTAACATGGTCCATATTCTAGATCACCCTCGCATATAGACTGACTGAACAAAATAAGCCCAAGAATGTCTAGGGTCAACCATCATTGTCTGCTGAGCTACCGGCACAAAGCAGTCATGTGACCCTTGCATAGAGGAGCTTTTTAATGCTCATTTCAGCCCCCCAAGGTAAAATGTGCCGCCAAAGTTCAAAGACAACATGATGTAAGTAAATGGTGTGTCTCGGAAGCAAACATTCTCCCTGAAATATGCGCATCTCTGAAAAGATCATAGAAATCAGTAGTAAAATATGACATTCATATTTTCACTTTACTCTCCACTTTTCAGGAGCATGTCCTGCATAGAAAGCAAGATCGAGCTGCATTTCAACCAACAGTGGTTTCCATCTGTGCTGATTGTAATTTTTATCCATAGGTTTGAAGACATACCTGATAGCGGGTCAGAGAGCGAAGGAGTCTCATTGCAGCTGTTCAGAGGCCTTGCTTTCTGGCTTTGAGGTCATTGACGGCTCACGGGTGTCCTCGGGTCCTAGGGGACAGGGGACAGCATCGCCAGGGAGTGTCAGTGACTTGGCGCAGACTGTCAAAACCTTTGATAACCTTAAGGTTAGTTTTTTTTTCTACTTCTAAAATTTTATATTAATTCTGCAGTAGAACATGTGAAATAATAAGCAGCCTTTGGGTCTGTGGCAGACGACTTGGAATGCCCTTCACTTTGGTTTTTTGCGATTTTTAAATTTAGTATGAAGTCACCAGCATTTTGCATTTTTTAACATCTTTGCTTTTTTGACATATTATGCACCTCCATTTTCTTTCCACACTGCATCAATTTGCTTCTCACTCGAGCTGTTGTTTTCTTTTCCTGAGACCTATGCTGTCTTTTGGGGATCTCTGAAAGCTAATGATAAGTGATAGTAAAGGTGATTCTTCTCGCAGCTTGCTTAGTGAGCTCGTTCGTATCTTATTTCAGAGACCATTTTCCCCAGTGCTCCTATGTCTCTTGAAATAGAATGTCTCACGATTATTTTAAATTTTGTTTGTGTGGGTGAATCTTGTGGCGTAGCTCACTGAAAGAGTGCAGGCTTGCCGGGAACATTACAGCATTTCATTGTTGGGGCAGAGACCTCCTGGTGGCTGTCTCCACGTACCCATTTCTGTCATCATCAACTGCCACAGGATTAACATGGCGGGCCATGGGTATAGGAAACCACACCAGTGTATGAGCTGCTCCTCAGTTTTCACATGTGATTTCATTTCCCCCACTGGTATCTCTTGTTTGTTTTTACTGTTGAAATATTTGCTGTTTCCATTTGAAAAAAAAAAAGAAAAAGAGAGAGAGATAAGAGTTCCCCTTCACTGTGTTGTGCTCTCAAATAATCAAACGATATGTTGGTCCAAATGATGGCCTGTTGTTACAGCTTTAATCCAGTATGTTCCTGTTTATCCACATTCATTCACAGCTTTGAAAGCCAGCTCTGCTGGTATTTAAGTTCAACAGGATCATAACGTGGGCATCCAGGTCATTTCCCTCCACCAGAATCCGTAGTCCCTGTCGGCCAGTTACTTTGTGTAATTCTCATGCTCAGGTTTATTAATAGCACTTGTGTATCATTTTTATCATATGCTTTGTTACGTTAGTGCAGGGTTTTTCAACTGTCAGCACTAGGAATGTTTTGGGCCAGGTAACTGTTTGTGGTGGGGGCTGGCCTGTGCACTGTGGGATATTGAGCAGCATTCCTGGCTCCCACCCACCAGATGCCAGGAGCACCCACTCTTCCCATTGTGGTGATGGAGAATGCCTCCAGACACTGCCCAGTGACCCCTGAGGGTTGAGGGAGGGTAAAATCCCCTCTGGTTGAGAACCCATGAGGTAGGGTACTAGACGCGGTCCTTTCCCATGTCCTCAGCATACTGCTAATGTCTCTGAAATTTCCTTACTGCCTGCGCACTTTCAAGACAGCCTCTGCTCGGGGTGATGTTTTGCAGCAGTCAGGAAGAGGAGTTCGCCGCTCTCGGGCTCACGGGCTGTCCCTGAGCGTGGGCAGGAACCATTGTAGAAGGAGAAGTTGAAAACGTGGTCTTCCAAATACAGCTTCATTATTTAGAGAGAAATTATTTCCTCCGGGCTTCAAACTGAGCTGTATTTAAGTAGAGAAATAGAGCTCAAATCCAAAAATAAGTGATGTGTTGTGTTTGCCTGCCATGTTAGATTATGTGTATGTGTGTTTCTAGCCATAGCACCTAACTTCCAATTTTAGTGACAGCGATTTGGTGCTAAATTGATCTAAAAAGGTTTTCTCTTATCCCAGAGAACATTTCTTGTTCTAGTTAAATGTATATAGTTATAGTTAAAGATATAAATGTATTTTTCTTTATTTTAAAAATCTGGATAGATAAAAAACTATTTAGCATATTCTGTTGTCATGTATAAATTTTTAAATAGTCATTGAAAGTTTTCTGAAAATCTTGTGATCTATTAAGTTAACTGTGTCTGCCAAAAAGAATTTTGGTGGGGGGAAAAGATCTTTGTGTCCCTTCCAGGGAGGAAGGACGAGCTGGATCTTGAAGTATAATTTCTGGGATATTTTCATGTGAGGACATCTGAGATGAGGACCGCCCCCGCGGTTGGAGTGGAAGGAGCACAGAGAGGTAGACAGCGTGGTCTCCAGGCTTTGCCACTCTGGGGAAATCATGTGCAATCTGGCCCCTTTGCTTCTAGTTCGTGGGGTCAGGTAAGAGCAGGCCTCTGTGAGTGCCTTGCAAATAGTATGCGCTGGGTAACTGAGTGAGTTTTTAGGAGCTATCGTCAAGCCTGAAAGAAAACTGAGGTCCGCTTCAAGGATTACATACATTCTAATCTGACGTATAAGTCTTTCTTTTGGGTAAGAGTTTTCACACAACAGAAAAAATACTGGCTGCTCGCTCATAGGTTCTTGGTGTAGATTTATCCTGTGCACTTGTCCCATGTGTCATTGGTTTGTTGCCTTATGTCTGCACTACCCATTAGTACTACCCGTTAGTTTTTCCGTTTAGCTAGAAACACTGAGTGGTTCCTCCTAATCATTTGCCAGGGTCTGTTGACTCTCCCTGTGAACGAGCTTCTTTCCTTTGTGGCTGCTGCCCCCTCGTCCAGCAAGAGGTGGCTCCTGTGTGGACTTCTGTCACCAACCCCGCATCTCCTTGCCCAGTGCGGGAGCCCTGGCTCACGGAGGGGGCCTGTGTCAGGCAGTGTTTCCCTTGAATGTACATTCTCTGAGCAGTAGTTTCTCAGGTTGAAAATAGGTGGCAAGTATGGAAAAAGCATTCTGTGGTCAAGGACACCTGCACAGTTCTGGGCTACATCCTGTAGAAAGGGTCTCTGTGCTCCAGGACATCTCGGAGCCTTTAGCGTGCTACTGTCCACGTTAGGCCTCCAGAGAGGGATGTGGCAGCGGCATTCTTGGGCTTCTGTGACCACAGACTTCTTTCTTCAGGCCACACCTTTTGGGGGAATGATTGTCTAGTGGAAGGAGTTTCATGCAGGAACCAAGAAATTAGGGAAAGGTGTTGAGTGAATATTCCTCAGGTGAATGCATGTGTGCCTTGACCTGTCGCTCCTGTCACCTGCAGTGCACCTCACTGTCCCTATCCCTCTGAGCTGCTCTTCCTTGCCCTGTTCAGTGTCATTGGAGTTTCCAGTGACTCCTCCAGCTAACAGTGCTGTCTCCCCATCTTCACATCCTCGGTCCATTCAGCTGTAATGTACACCTTTACTTGTTTCTTACGCAGCTTCCTGTGAGCTCTTTGAATGCGGGTAGAACCCATGTGTGAAATAACTTACGTTTTTCCCAAGTGTACAGCCTGGCATGGGGTAGATAACTATAACTTTCTTTTGGTTTAAGTTTTTTTCTTGAATGATACACAGAGAACTGTAGCTCTGCAGAGCTAGGCCAAGAAGGACCGAGTTCAGAAGCCCAGGCAGAACTGAATAGAAGCAGGTAACGTCAACGAAGCATTTGTTTTCCACTCCTTGTGCACATGTCCCATGTGAGTTGTCTCCCAGTTCATAGCTGGAGGATTTTTACCTAATATTTCATTAAGTAGTATGACTACTGTGATGACCTAGTAGTGACGTCAAAGGTCAAAGGGTTTGGCCCTGAGGTCATAGGTCAGAGGGACCCCTTCCCACCCCAAGCCTTGGCTTCTTGAGTGACTGGCAGTGAGAGTTTCTCATCAGGAAGACCCTGGATAGCGTAATGGGGGGAGAGGAGTACTACTGTGGAAAGGGCTTCTCAAAGCCTTGGTCTTGGGACTGTGAGCAAGTCATTTAGTTTCTCTTGGCCACAGTGAGATGGTAATGACTATCTCCCAGGTTTGCTGTGAAGATCAGCTGAAGTAATGTCCATGAATATTAGGTTTGGAGTAGAAGCTCTGTTAACACTGGACACGTGTGTATTCACTCCGCATGGAGAAATGGACACTGACCGTGGTAGGAGTGAAGAAGGGCAGGAGGAGACAGGTAAGGCTTTGATTTGCCCACAAGGAGTCACTGACTCTCTCAGGAAGGTCTTGGCTTCTCTGTTCTGATATGAGGGAGGTTCTTCAGTTTTTGCTGTAGGGGATGTAACCACGTCACACATGTGACATCAGAGCATGAGCACCTTGGCCTGTTTAGTGTGACCTCAGCTCTCCAGGGGATGTCTGCTGCTCCTTCTCCATGAACACTGTGGGTGATGGATGGATTGAGACTACCTGTGCCAAGGAACATAGCTGGTCAGGCATCTTCGTGAAGAACGAAGAAATGAAAACCAAACATGTGGATGGTTTTTTTTTTAATCACATCAGTCCCAACCAGTGAACTTTGTGAGTGGTGAAAGCATCTTAGTTCATCTCTAACGGGCCTCATTGGAAAGACACCTGCTCAGCTAGTCTTTGTGAATTTAACCTTAATCTATTATTCAGAACCCTGGGGCTGTGCGCTCATAGGGCAATTCTACATGTTTACAGTTAGTAATGAGGCGAATGATGTAGATTCACCCACATGGGGGCAATTTAGGGAGGATCTGTTCTGTTTTCAAAAGGGTAATACTTTCCCTTTGAGGTCAGTAGCCCCAGGGACCATCCTTCTGTAGAAGTCCCTATGACTTTTTTAATGACTCTAAATAAATGGTCACTTCTTTTATCTCCCTGTTATTTGTATGTAAAATAATTATGACGAGGCTCCGTGGGCTCAGTGTGAGGAGGCAGTGGGCCTTTTAGTTCATTTCAGAAATGGAAAAGTTAGTAAATATCTGTCTATCTATAGTTTAGATACTAAATAAGTATTTCTTATAAATGGTGGTCGAATTGGTAGTGGTGATGGTTGCACAATTCTGTGAATACACTAAAAGCCACAGAATTATATATTCTCTAGATGGGTCATTTGCATGGTATGTGAATTCTATCTTGATAAAGCTGTTATAAAATAAATAGTAGTCTAATTGCTCGCTCTGAAAGGTGAACATAAAGTAAGTTTTTTTAAAAAAAGACGTTCAGGTTTTATCTATATTTCCAGTCATGTGTGTTTCCTTCAGCTAGGAGAAAGCCTGTCCCATGGAAATCAACACCTTACAGAAGAGTTCCAGCTGATGGAGGTAGAAGGAGTGAGGGAGAGAGAACCAACACTAGAACACCACCGTAGTATTTGCTGCCGGCAGGGTCCCTCAGTGAATTCTAAAATTAACGGGTAGAAGTTTAAGGAGAAACAGGATATTTCCACAGCCTCCAAGCACTGCCCCCCGCCCCCCGGATATTTGCTGATGACAAAGAGAAGAATAATAACTCCACAGTGGAAAACCTGGCAGGCCCTGCCTCACTGAACGATGAAGGCCGGTATCACAATTAATAAGACTTGCAGTGTCGTGTATGTGCCCCCGCCATGTGATGTGCTGACCAGGGCACGTCACCTCTGTGGGGTCCTTCTGCCAAATCACACAACACCTGACGCCTGACCAGGGCACTGCAACAGTGACAAGTCATTGAAGACGAGAAAAGACCGAGGACCTGCCACAGGCTGGAGGAGACAAGGAGACGCTGAATGCAGCGTGGGATCCTGGTACAGAAAAAGGCGGTTCGGGGAAAAGCGGGGAAATCTGAGCGTAGTTAGTACTGTGCCAGCGCTCACACTGTAGTCTCGATGGCCATGCCGTGGTTGCCGTGAGCCACTGACGTTCGGGAACGCTGGAGAAGGACACGTGGCAGCTCCCTGAACTGTCTTTACCGCTCCCCATAAGTCTAAGCTGTTGCGCGGTTTAAATGTCTAATATATATGTATTAACTATTTTACTCTATGTTATTTTAATCATTCTATATAATATAAATGTTAGGTGTATAACATTGGTTGTATTTCTATTATATATTACATATGAATTGACATGAGAAGATAAGTCCAGCATCATTTAACTGGTATCATCAGGTAGTGAAGTATTACATGTAAATGAAGTTTCCCAAAATACCCAATATTTTCTTATTTGACTTGCTGATGGAATATTCCCACAGCACAGGAATGATCTTCTCACCTCATCAGCCTTAGTTATTATACTCGGTGGTTGTCTAAGGGCTGGGGAGTCTGAGCAGGGTTTTATGACTCCACACTCTGTGACTCCGAGATCTTGGGTCTGATTTTTACAGGTTTTTTGTTTTATTTTATTTATTTATTTTTGCCTCCCGTATTCTCAGACTGTGCACTTTCTATTCTTAAAGCTTCTGGGATGCCTTTCTTTTTCTGTAACAATTCCTGCTTCTCTTTTTCTCTAGTATTTTGGTTGTAGAAATCATCTACTTGGAAGTGTTGATGCTCATGCTAACCCACTAGCTTAAACAATGTCGCACTGCCCCCCCCATTCCTGCTCCCTGGGAGATGTCACATGCACAGATGGGGTCCAGGCTGCAGCTGCGTGGGCTTAAGCTCCCCTCTGTCACTCTCTGACAGTGAGACTCCAGGCAAGTCATTTCTCTTCTCTGCCTCAGTTTCCTGTGTGTGGAATGGAGCAAATCATAGTGTCTGCTTCATGGGTGCTTATGAGGACTGCAGGCAGAGAGCCGAGAACCTCAGGTGGGCCTCAGTAGGTCTGTTTGTTGTTACTGTTGCACATTTCTGCCTGCCCCTTTCAGCCTGAGTTTTGAGCTTGGGAGCCAGTGTTGCTTCTCTTGGTCCTAGGACAGCTTACCAAATAGTCACGTTGAGCAGACTAAACAGGCAAAGCCAGCGCTTTTCTGATGTTTCCTCTTCGTTTCTCAGAAAAGAGGTTTCCCTGCTTTCTTCCTTGACAGTTATGAAAAAGGACAGCTGTTGGCTTAGAAATGATTTATCTTGTGAAGAGAAATAGCCTTGAAGAAAAACCTATTTTATAGCTTTATGCCATATATTCTGAACAGAATGTAGGGTGTGTGTATTGAAATGTATTAAAAACAAATGCAAATGTGTTCAAGTGTGTTAGAGAAAGTTACCATCTCCCCTCCAAAGCCTATGTCTGCGTTGGGGAAGGAGCAGAGATCATCTGGGAAAATGCAGAGATTGCTCTTGGGTGTTCTCCAAGGATTTCGGGTTTCCCAGGCAATAGCCAGCACACGCCTTGACCTGTAGAGTACTCTGTTTTGGGGACCTTAGCTGGTCTTAATAAAGCTTCCCTTGGTGCCAGTGTGCCAGTAGTACCACTTAGAAGCACCAGGAGGTGGTCATAACTGCTTGGGCTACTTGAGGGGAACGAGGCCCAGGAGGTCATAGTGCCAGGATGATTCCTGGGTCCTTCCTATGTGAGGAAAAGAACAGAGAGAAGCTGCACAGTGGTCAGGGACCAGGAACCTGCAGGCTGACTCCCGCTGCTGATGAACTTTTGTGTCCTCCAAGTGGCCTTGTGGTGTGTTACAAGGATTAACTGAGGCCAGGCGCATGAGACCACAGACCCTGCACACATGAGGATGTGCTCAGCACACAGGTGATTCTCCATCACAGCAGCTGCCATCGTTGTAAGAGTGATTTTATCTGGCATATCGGGCATGTCTCCCAAGATGGTAAGCTACCCCAGATAGTTCCCTAAAGTCCAAAGTGCTCTTCCTAGTGAGGGTTTCTCAGCAGGAGGAGAGGCAGTTGTTTAATGGGTAGGGAAACATCTCCCAGAGGTATCTGGGTGCTTGGCAAAAACCAGTTTGTGAGGTGTTTTAACCCTGATTAAAATGAAGCTGGAAAATAGTTAAAGTTTTTGTGGGTAGTGGAGAGGGGAAACAGACCCACCCTCTGTTGCCTGTGGGACCTTCCTGGTGCAGAAGGGATGCTCGCCACATGTCGGAAAGGAATGTCAAGATGTGAGGATGTCTTCATCGGGCAGATGGACTTCTCTAGGATTTTTTGTTTCATTTGTTTTAAAGATTTAATCAACGAAATTTCCCCCAAAAAGCAAAGTAGATGAGGAAGAAACAGAAGGAAAAAAGCCACATTTTCAAAGTACGGTGAAATGATCTTCTGGATCCATGTGCTGTAAGTTCCTGGGGCTGCTTTGCTACAGGCGGGCCTGGAATCCACAGCTGGTTCTCCCCCACCCCCCGCCCCTGGTGTCCCCACTCCCTGGATGAAGCTGCTGTAGGGGTGCAGAGGGAGTAGTGAGCACTGTTCAGGCCATGGGGGGTCCCAGCCACAGTGCCTGCTCTCTACTGCTTCCCATGTGACTCTGACAAGCACCTGAACCTCCCCGAGGAGAGTCTCTGAGACCATTTATGAACATTATGTCTGTGCCTTTGCTCCCTGAGGTTCTTTTGTGGACAGTCTACCAGACCTTACCTCTGTATTAGAACATTTTATCACAGCAGGTACAGGCCGCATAGCCTCTCTGTGTCAAAGGGATGTGGACTTGGGTTGCCCAGTTGTGAAGACCACAGTCATAGGCTTCTGGAGATCAGCCCAGTCCCCATGGACACTCCCAGTCTCCACGGGCTTCCCAGCGCCTTCACAGTCAACCTCCGGAGAGAGGGCACCGTGCTGAAGTTGTGTGCCTTAAGTGCGTGTGCAGGGAATCCTTCGTAGACGGTGTGTGCCCTCTGGTGTCCAGGAGGTTTGTTAGTCTCTGTTGCGTATTTATGGCTCTAAGTGCATAAAACATCTTGTATGTGTACTTGAGGAGAGAAAAGTGCTTAGGAACAAACTGAGACCGAGAGATACCAAGGATGGCTGTCCTGTCTGTGATAAGGACATCATATTACAGCTGCGTGGTCTTCATAACCAGAAGTTTCACTGTTAAGGACCAGCATGTGTTGAGAACCCACTAGCACCTCAGGCAGAGCCCAGGGTGGTGAATGCATGTGTGCATCTGCTCGTGCAGCCTTCCCCCTGCCGGGTATCCCCAGTCAGCCACAGTCCTCCCACTGGGCCAGGATGCAGCATCCTCGTCCTTGCCCACTCTTCCACAACCTCATTTATGGGAGACACAGTCCTATTGTGGAAAGGGGAAACTGAGGCTTGGAGATCCCCCTACCCTAGTCAGGGTTCGAACCAAGATTTGGTCCATGACAGTTTGATTTCGAAACCAGCACCTCTGATCCCTGTGCTACACTACCAGTAAGGGGTAGCTTCCGGGAACTAATTAGAATAGTCTTGTCACACTATTTCTCTAGTCTTCAGGTGTCAAAAGTGGCCAGAGAAATAACTCTTACTACTTTGTCTTGTCTGCCCGAGACTGGGGAAAGCCCCAGACCCTAAGGGTATGACTCAGGTTAGAGTCTCTCGGACTGTCCCCGTGCCCACCACTCTCCCTGGGCTGCCAGCTGGCCCTTGCAGAGGCCAGTGTTGCCCTAGAGGAGCAACCTGCCACCACCGCAGCCACCAGAGTCGTTCTCGCAGCCCTCGCCCCCCGCAGAGGGGTGAAGTCACCGCGCTCCAGTGACAAGCCCAGCAAGACTTCTGAGGGCGCTCCCTGCGAGGGTGTTGGATTTTGTTTTTTCTTTTGAGAAGATCAGTGGCCCCATTAGCAACATGTTTTGACGTTTAACTCAGTCATTACCAAGGTGCATTAAAATAAATTTATATGTTATATTACTGGCAATTAGAACATTCTGCCCCTGTCAATGATGTCAGTGTTTAAAGAGCTATAGGCATGTTTTACCTTGGTATTGCTGTTCACTCAGGTATGTTAGTTAATGATTTGGCCTGCCGCTTTGGCGTGTGTATTTTCATTTTTCGAATGAATATGAATGTTTAAATTTGCGCGTTGCATTAGATTCTCAGATGACACAACTCTTTAGAATCTTTCTTTTATTTAATACAGCAGAGGCCTGAAATCTAACTTAGGATGTAATATAGCTCATATCCTTGCCCGTGGGTACTAAGTGATACTTATATTAAATTTCTAAAATAGTGCCTAGCCTCCTATAATGTGTTCCAGTGTGTAACAGTGCTAATTATGCTAGAAATTGTCAGAATCCCTCTAAATCTGTCCTGCTGCCATTCGTCTTCTCCATTGGAAGCTCTTAGTTGCTGTCTTGGTGGTGGCTGCCAGTTTACTGGATCCCATTGATAGAGTGAATTGATTAAGGATGCACTGAGTGCCAGGAGCAAGGCTAGACTGTCTACACATGTCTTCACTTAGCTCTTACCACACATCTGCAAGAGCTGTGGCACCACTCTCGTTTTATAGGTGAAAGGACGGAGGTGAGTAATTTGAACAGGGCATCTCCACACCCTGGTTGTGAGAAGCAAAGCCTGGCCCTTTCTGCTCTACCTGATGGCATTAAGCCTTGACTTCTCTTTTCCAGGTCAGCTAATTGCTCAGGCTTCTGAGAACTCCTAGGTCTGTAAGCATGTCCCTTTGACTTTCCAGCCTATTTTACCCGAACAGCTCACCATCACACAGAGCTCGAGAACCTCATGTAGCCTAGTGGATGGTTGGTTGGCTTAATAACAGCTTTATTGAGATACAATTCATGTTACCATAAAATTTACCCTTTTAAAGTATACATTTTGGTGGTTTTTAGTATATTTGCAAGATTGTGCATCCATCACCACAGTCAGTTTTGGAACATTTTCATCACCCCTCCAGACACCCATTAGATCCCTCCCCATTCCTTCGTCCCCTCAACCCTGGCACCCAGTAATCACCTTACCATCTCTATGAGTTTGCCTTTTCTGGACATTTTCTACAGTTGGAGTCATATAACATGTGGTCCTTTGTGTCTGGCTTCTGTCACCTGACAATGTTTTCAGGGTTCATCCATGTTGGAGCAGGTGTCAGTGTTTCGTTCCTTTTGACGGCTGAATCATATTCCATTCTGCAGACAGACCACATTTAGTTGATCCATTCATCCATTGATGGACATTCGAGTTGTTTCTACTTTCTCGCTGTTACGGACAGTGCTGCTCTGAGTATCCATGTGCTGGTCTTCGTGTGGACATGTTTCCGTTTTCACTTCACCAGTTTGTTTTTGACTCCTGTTCAAGGGGCTCAGGAGCCCTTCCAGTTGGTTTCCACCATTCAGCGTGACAGCCAGTTGCAATGATAGACTTGAATTACGGGTTGTGGCCGTGCTTTCTGGGTGTGTTCCTATGGTGTATGTTTTTCTTCTAGAACTGTCCTTCATGCGGCATCATGTTGGCCCCCAAATCGGAAGCTGGTGTAGGAGGAGGAGCGGTCCAAAATGGCTGTCAAGAGGAACATAAAAACAGCACTAAGGTAACAAGCTCTTGGCTGTTGTTCCTGTCGGTTCCTCCCCTGGTACCTCCACCTGAGGTGACATTCCTGTCTTGTCAGCTTCTCAGTTCCAAGAATAGCTCCCCTTAAGTGACACCATGCCACACCTTCTCATCCTGAGGGTTTTGAATAGATCAGTAATAGACCAGTGAAGATCAGGATGGAGAGTCAGGTCTAACCCTTGTGAAATAGAATAATCACATGCCCAGCTGGATGGGACTCCCTTCATGGGCAGTAAGAGCTTAAAGCCACGTGGACTGCAGTAGCTAGGGGAGATCTCTGGGGCTGGAACACGCGGTACAGTGTGGATGTGCAGAGAGAAGGGGGGTTCTGCCGGAGCAAAGTTGCATTGTAAAGAGAGGCTTGGGGTTGGGGTCAGCAGCAAGGACTGCCAGAGAAGTCTCACCTGGAGACAGAGCCAGGGCTGCAGTGGAAAGCAGAACAAAGACCAAATCTGAGAGCCCTTCCAAGAATGCTTATAAAGGCTGAGTCTCCAGGGAGGCCTATGTCTGTTATCCTCCATCCTTGTGTCGCCTGCCACCTTCCCCTGGATGGATCCTCGTACCACATCCATCGCCCTCGCCCCCCAAACCTTCCCCCATGGCCCTCTGCAATGCTGATTCTGTGGTTAGCAAGCTCCAAGAGCCTCAATCTTCCGTGACCTTCTCTCTACCTCCTTACTGGCTCTTCCCACGATGTCACCTTCCAGGCTGCCTCAGCCCCTGGAGGTGCAATCTGACGAAATAGGGGGATAGGGAGAAGCAAATGGGTGGAGAGGTTGAGCGTCAGGTTAGAACAGAGATGTGAAGGTGCTGGTCAAGCGTGCAGTGGGGCCCCATCATGGCTGAGGTCGGGCTGGAATAGCACTGTTGCATGCTCGCCCTGCAGCCTCTGTGTCTGCCCCCCACTACCCTTGTCTTGAGGCAGGCTCCTGGAGCACCGAATTCCAAAACTCAGAATGGACTTCTGAGCCCTCCCCAAGAGGAGAAGCTCACCAACAGTCAGACCTCCCTGTGTGAGATCTTACAGGAAAAGGGAAGGTGGGCAGGAGTGAGCTTGGACCAGTCAGCTCTCCTTCCGCTGAGATTCAAGAACATCCGGGAGAAAACAGATGCCCATTTTGTTGATGTTATCAAAGAAGACAGGTAAGAGTCAACCATTCCCAATGAAAGTAAAGATTTGCAGGTAGGAGTCTCTCCCTTTTTCTGAGTCACCCTATCCCATGTTTTTGCCCTCCATTGTCAGTATTTTACTTTATTTTGAAGTAATTTGAAACTTACAGAAAAGTTGCATGAATAATACAAAGAACTCTCATTTTACCTTTTGCTTGATTTACCAACTTTTAACATTTTACTATTTTGTTTTATTCTCTCTCTTTCTTTATGAAATTTATGTGTGGTTTTTTTTTTTTTCTGGACCACTTAATAGTAAGTTGGATATATCATGCTCTTTGCCCCTAAACACTTTATTTCCTAAATTACAAAGATGTTCTTTTACATAATCATGGTTACCAAATTCAGGAAATCTAACATGGATGCATATTTGATCTAATCTACAGTTCATATTCCAGTTTGGCTTGAAATTTTGGCCACAGAAATGGCATCAGGTATCCCATCCAGAGGCACATTGTGCCCATTTGTCTTCCGTCAGTGATAGTAATTTTGAGCAACCAGGCAAGTGTTGTTGACCTCTCCAATCTGTGGTTATTTTCTCCTTGTGACTAGTAAGCAGTACTTTTAAGATCATGCATGTATTCCATTCCTCAGCAAACTTCCCTAGATTTCCTCTCCATCGTGGTTCTTGCTTAAAACAGCCTTTACTATGATGGTTCAGAATGTCAGTTCTCCTACTTGAGCACCAACTGCACATTGGCAGTTGGAGCACATTGACATGGCTCCATCATTTTTTAAAAATTTAATTTATTTATTTTAGAGAAAGAGGGCAGGGGAGGGGCCGAGGGGGAGAGAGAATCTCAAGCAGACTCCCTGCTGGGCAGGGAGCCCGACGCGGGGCTCGATCTCACGACCATGTGAGATCACAACATGAGCCAAAACCAAGAGTAGGACGCTTAACTGACTGAGCCACCCAGGAGCCCCTCCATCAATTGTTTTTCATAGTTTCTGGCACCCTGTTCTAGCACAACAGGATATTCCAGGCTCGTCTTATATCCTTCCTAACCCTAGTAAGGCATCAGCCATTTGTCCAAAGAGCCTTGGCTCCTTTTAGTGAAGAATGGTATTTAGAAATGTTTGTTGTTAATGTCTGACTTAATGTCATGTAGCCAAAGACATATTCTAAATGATTTCAGTCCTTTTACATTTATTGATACTTGTTTTATGGTCTCACATGTGTCTGTTTTCATGAACATACCACATGCACTTGGAAAGAATATTCTACATTTGTAGGATGTTGCGATCCATAAACACAATTAGGTCCAGGTGGTTGGGAGTATTAGATCATCTGTCTCTTTACTTTTTGTCTATTGCTCTATCAGTGTTAAGAGAGGGATTTAAAAATCTTTCATTGTAATTGTGGGTTTGTCTGCGTCTCTTTTTAGTCCTGATGGTTTTTGTTTCAAGTATTTTCATGCTCTTTTTTTTTTAGGTACATACACATTTATGAGTGTTATAAATTCCTGGTGAATTGGTCCTTTTGTCATTTTGAAGTGTCCCTCTTTATTCCTGGTAATACTCTGTCATAAAAGCCACTTTATCTGATACTAATATAGTAACTCTAGCATTCTTATCAATTTCCATTAAAAAAAAATTTCAACCTGTATCTTTATATTTGAAGTGTGTCTCTTATGAGTCTTGCTTTTTTAATCATTCTAAAAGTTTCTGACATTTAATTCCGTTTTAATATATTTACTGGCATTTTAGCCATACCTCTTTGCATTATTATTATTATTTTATCTATCTATTTATTTATTTATTTATTGGTGCTTGATCCAGGACTTACAGATAGGCATCCTTGAATTTTTTTTATAGTCTTCTTATGGTTAACATTGTATCATTTCACTTTATTTTTTTTTTAAAGTTTACTTATTTATTTATGTAAGTAATCTCTACACCCAACGTGGGGCCCGAACTCATGACCCCTAGGTCAAGATTCACATGCTCTTCTGACTGAGCTGGCCAAGCGAACCTGTATTATTTCACTTGAAATGTAGACATCTTGTAGCTGTGTAGATCCATTACTCTCTTCCCACCCCTTATGCTATAGTTTTCACATGTGTTACATCTGCATACATTGTGACCTTGACCTCTAATACCACCCTCTTGGTAATCTCAGATTGGTCTCCATTGATTGCTCTTCTGTTGAGTTGAATCATATTTTCCTGTTCCTTTGTATGTTGTGTAAATTTGGATTGTGTTGTGCTTAGAAACTGGATTCTGTTATATTGCTCTGAAGAGTGTCAGTATTTTGTTTCTTTGTTTCTTTGTTTTAGCATGCAGTTAACTTACCTAAACTCAGACAGCAAACTTTGTCTCCCCTGGGGTAGGTGGCTGCTGCTCTTTTTTAAGCCTTAATTAGGCTGCTTCAAGTCTCCTGTGCACATGCAGATTTTAAAGGTCAGCCAGAGATCTGAGCAGAGCTCATATGATGAATTTGGGGATGCCCCTTCTCTGGTTTTTTTTTTTTTTCCTTTCTCTGCTATTTTCAACCTCATTTTCCAACTGTGGGCACCCCAAACATTATTTTCTGAATTTCCAAGCCAGCAAGATTGTGGCTTTTCCATCTGAGTTTTAGCTGTCCCACACATGGTGCTGATGAATGGCTGTCTTCAGGCAAAAAAGAAAAACAGTAAAGTATGGGAAATTAAGCTGGTGCTATTCCATTCTTCCAGGTGTGACTCTCCTCCATTTCCCACGTGCTTTGGTCAGTCTCCACTACCTTCCAGGAGTCATTTTTATATCTTGTCCAGAGTTTATTGTCGTTATCTGAGAGCGGATTGGCCCAAAAGGAGCTAATCTCTGTTCCCAGAAAAGGAACTTGCTAATACTAATTTCAGAGGAGCAGCACAGCATCTAGCTACATGTGGCCACTGTACATCCTCCGTACGGCTGCTGTGCCGGTTTTCCCTCTGTCCACACTTGCTGGGTGGAGGGGAAGATGGGGGTCTGCATCCGGGGTTGGAGTTTTCTCTCTTCCGAATCTGAGAGCATAGTGAGGTATGGCACACTTGTCACAGAGAGAGAGTCCACTGGGCTGCAGGGACCCTGTATGTCAGGGTCTGATGTAATTACGGACGTTACCGTGTGAGGGAGAGAGACTACACTCCATGGCTGTATTTGCCTTCTGAAATCATGTTAACACTCTTTTAAATTTCCTGCAGTATACAAAGGATATTACTATTTGCTAGCAACTATAAAAGAATGAGAGTCACAGAAAGCAGTTTTCATGTCTCTGCTATTAAAATAGTTGAGTGTTATTTTTCAGGTTTCACACACAGTCTGCATATGTGACAATAGCACTCCAATTATGCTAACTCTAAACAGTTTTGTGATAACAACCTGTCAGCTCTGACGGCGGTAATTGCTGTTAGTGCTCTGAACGACAGGACAGGACAGCCAGCTCTGAGTTAGGTTTTCATCAGAAGCCTTGGAATCAGCCTAAGTCCTCTCGGTACAGGCATGTCTGGTCCTCCAGAAGTGGTGGTTTCCTAGCATGGCAGAGCTGCCTTCTTCCCCGGACACTGGAGGATGTTTCCAGAAGCAGGGTGCTCATGACGTGTGCTATAATGATGGCAGATGGTCATGGTTTAGTGGAAGCATAACATGTATTTTGAAAACACAAAGCACTTTCCAGACGTATGTTCTAAAGGAGGGGTCAAGCATTATCTGTCACGTAGTGACTCTTGGACATGGTTTTTGTGACACGCTTTGGGAATGGTGTTTGGGTAGCTGCCGATATAGATAGATAGACAGATAGATATCAGTCTGCCGATAGAGTAAGTGCAATGCCTCTGTGCCGTGTTGATCAACTGCATGTTTCATTTCTCCTAGCCTGATGAAAGATTATTTTTTCAAGCCACCTATCAATCAGTTCAGCTTGAACTTCCTGGATCAGGAGCTAGAGCGATCCTACAGGACCAGCTATCAAGAAGAGGTGTGTTTCCCCTTCTACTTCTACTGAAGAAATTTGTTGTTTGCACCGGATAGTTCACTACCAGCTTTGTGCTTTGGCAGCTTTTTCTTTCCCCCCTTGAGTGATAGGAAAATGAAGGCTAGTACTGATTCCTGACAATCTGTAAGCCCCAAACTGCATCTGCATGTGAATTTATCCACATGGGGAGAAGACCCCCAATCTTTCTGTGCTCCTTTGTCTAGTGTCACTGGCATGTCATTTCCAGGCTCCTTTGCTCCGTGCTGGCCTTGTCCTCATTTTCTCCCTCCTTCCCGGTGACTCCCTAACATTATGTGCATGGCTCTTTGTTACGTTTACCACACCACCCTGACATTTCGGATCCTGTCCGTCCCCCCCGTTAGGCTGTGAGCTCCCAGAGGGCGATGTTTCATGTCTGCCCCCAGCACCCCGCACAGAGCCAGGCCCAGAGCATGCTCTTGAGTGAAGGCATGAGCATCTCTTACTATCTGTTGACCCGCCCATGCTTTCATCTGCTGTTGCTTCAATCCCTGCCTGATACTTCTGTCATGAAGCCAGCTGTCACACAGCCTGAACCTGGGACCCAGCCATTCAGTGGAAGCTTCACAAAATGGCTTTTATGCAACGGCCTTTACAGATGCAGAGCCCATAACCCAGATTTCAGGCTCAGTATGTAATGTGTTTGTGAGAACTCACTGGTTTGTAATAGCTTGCTGTGTGACCTTGTGCAAGTTTCCTAACTGCTCTGTGCCTTAGTTTCCTCACTGTTAAATGGGATGGGAGAGATGGCCCACCTGAAGCACTTACCACTTGATCCAGGGTGGGCAAGTGCTCAACAAATGTTGGCTGTGTTTTCCATGGAAATCCTACTCCATGGCCATCTGTTTCCACTCATGCCTCCCACCTCCCCTCCTACCCCAAACAGGTTATAAAGAATTCTCCTGTGAAGACTTTTGCTAGTGCCACCTTCAGCTCCCTCCTGGATGTGTTTCTGTCAACAACAGTGTTTCTGATTCTCTCCATCACCTGCTTCCTGAAGTACGGGGCTGCCACCACGCCTCCCCCTCCTGCCGCCCTGGCAGTCTTCGGCGCCGCCCTGCTGCTGGAGGTGCTGTCCCTCGTGGTCTCCATCAGGTAAAGGCCCACCTGCCCAACTCTGCTCCAGCTTTTAGCCTTTAGCTCCCTCTGCTGGCTCACCAGTTAATGGCTGCACAGTCGGCCCGCAGCTCCGCTGGCCCGCCTCCTGACACCAGAGGCCTCTGCAAGCTCATTTCAGGTGACTGGTCCTCTTTCCTTCCCTCCGCCAGCTCTGCTGCTCAGCATCCTCCCTCACAGACCCCAGCCCTCGGCACAGGTGGGCACCTTCTTTACCAGAGGGTCAGTGTCCTCTGCAGCCCCTCAGCTGCCAGCTCCCCACTCCGAGACTTAAAAAGAACAAGTGGGGAGAGAGGGAATGAGAAAGGGAAGAGAAACAGAACAGAAGCATACAGGAGCACACAATGGGTGGCCGCCTGCGGGTCAGCAGGTGCCTCTTGTAGATGTGTGAGTGAGACTCGAAACCCTTAGAAGGATTGTGGGTATCTGTTTCCACGAGCTTGGGTCAGGCAGTGGTTTCTTAGATATGACATGAAAAGCATGAGCAGCCAGAGAAAGAAGAGATAAGTTGGACCTCATCAAAATGTAAAACCTCTCTGTTCTGAAGAGCACCCATCCCTTCTCATGCCAGAGTGAGAGGGAGCCTGCAGGACAGGAGAGTCTATGCAGACTGCATCTGTGGTGAGGTCTGATACCTAGAATGTAAGCTCAGTAATGAAAAGACAAGCAACCCATTTAGAAATGGACGGAAGGTCTGAATAGGCAGCAGGGACCCCTGAGGGAAGATAGGCCCTCAAGATCCGCTCAGCCTGATGTCAGGGTTCAGACCATCACCTGGGGAAACTCACAGCCGCTCTGAGTACTTCCGATAAAGTGTGAATGCATAGGGTACTCCATTCACATGCACATCCCCCCATCTGCCTCCTGGACACCGTGCCCACCTCCTCCGTCCAGCCCTGTCCTTCTCAACAGGAGTCTTGCTAGTGATTGCCTCCAGAAGCTGGAGGTGAAACAGAAACGGGAAGAAGGGCCCTGACATTGAGTTTCTGCCCCCCTTCCCCAACACCCCAGGACAGGAAACAATAGCCCCGGGTCTGCCCTGTGGCTTCTGAACGCTAGTCCCCCCACCACCCCACTTTGAAGTATATGGGCTGCATTGCCCTCCCCCCCAATACTCCCCCTTTCCTCATCCCCCCATCCCTGCCTCTACCCCTGTGGCTCTTGGCAGAGGGTCTTTTCTGGCTGCTAGGGGTTTCAAACTTTACCCCTGTGCCTCCTCCAGGTTGAGATAACTGCAGGGTGCATCCTCACTGTCTACCCAAATTCCCCACCAGGATTGAGCTGCGTGGTGCATAGCAAGGGACTCCTTGTAACACAGCCCTCCCTATGGGCCTGCCCCTCGAGTCTTGGCTTTGCACCCCTTGCTGAGCTGCCTGGGACCCACTCTCAAATCAGCTCTGCTTCTGGGGAATCCAAACCAAGGTATCCTCGGGCCCCTAGTTTGTCTTTTCCTCTTTAAAAACAGCTTTATTGTGATATAATTCATATATATGAATACTCATGTAAGCGTACAATTCAGCGATTCCTAGTAAACCTACAGAATTGTGCAAACATCACCATATAATTTTAGAACATTGCAAAGAAAACCTGGCACCCATGTGCAGTGAGTCCCCTCACACCCACGCTCCCTGCCCTGGGTCCAGGTTTCTGTCTGACACAGGGCCTCCAGCTGGATAAGGCTCCAGCTCTCTTAGAGGCTAGCATTGTCTCCATTCCTTTTTCAAAAGCCCTTTACACCATTGTTTCCTGTTCCTTTGGACCCACTTCTACAGAAGCTGGGCTGTCCCTGGTGTGGAGACTGCAGAGGGCTGTAGGCCACAGAGATGCCAGGCTGGCTGCACCCAGGTATGTGCTGGGCCTGTCACACCCACATGCTTGGCCAGCGCCTTCCAAATGAGGTGGCCACTGCTCCTGAATGACCACTGGTGTGACTTTAAAAGTTCACTTTACCCAAATCATCAAAGCCTGGGAGGCAAGGCTGGGAATGGGATGGAGTTCCCTCTCACCACACAGAGGGCATAGATCCCAGGTCTACGGGAATCTGTGCTTCAGAGTATGTGGGAGCCCCAGGGAGGCTGGTTCTGCGGCTGCTCTGGGGTACAGCCCCAGGCCTGGCACCTCCTCCAGAGGCCTTCATGCATCTTGACTTGCAGCCCATTCCTTCACTCCCCTCATTTTGTGCTGAACCCAGGCAGGCATGAGAACGGTGGGTCTCATCCTCAGAGCTCTGCTGTCCTGGGGACCTTCGTGGGGGCCTCCCAGTCCTGCCTTCTCCCCGTTGAAACTTGGCTTCCTCTGTCTTCTCATGGGGCTTATGTATTCTGCCTTTGAGCATATTTGTGGTTATTCTTGGAAATATTCCCAGGACTCCATTATCCGTCAAGTGTCAGGAGGCCAGAACCATCCAGGCCCTAAAAGGGTCAGACAGGGCCTGGCTCCATGTGGAAAATAGTCGAGATTCACGGTTTTCTCATGGAGAAAATGTGTTTGTAGCCAGTGGTTGCTGCATGGTGGGTGTCCAGGACAGAAGGTGCAGGCATCTGGGTGTGTGGCAAAGACCCTTGAGGGGATCTTGTGCTGTTAAAGCTCAGTGGGGTTTCCTGGCACTTCCAGAGGTGAGGAGAGCGTGCCTGTCCCTTCTCCCCTCCCTGGCAGCCTGGCTTCAGAGAGGGTCTGTGTGCGTGGGTCTCCCTGCCAAGCTGAATCCCAGTGCCCCTTCTTCCATCTCCTGCTGCTGGCATGAGGGTGCTGGCCCCTGCTGGCCCCAGGGCCCCTCACTTAGCCAGACTGTTTTTCCTTCTGAACAGCGGTTCTCAGCCCCACGCACTTGCTCCCCCTTCTTGATGAAAATTATTTTGTGATGTCCACATCACTTACCTGAAACACAGCCTACTTATACACACAGTTTCAGAAGGAGTCGATGAAATGCTGTCACTCAAATATGAAAGAAAGAGCAAGGGAGCCATTTAAAAGAAAATATGTAGTGCTTCACCTCGTTCTTGCCAGGACACCACCACCTGAGAAGTCATAACAGAGTCCTCAGCTGTGTCCTCATGCGCACGATCACACAAATGTGACGGCTCCAAATGCAGACTACTAGCAGCGTGCGGGCTTGGGTGGCACAAACACTGGGTTGCCGCCTGTGACATGATTTCTGAAATGCTGAGTGAGCCTTGCTGGGGCCCCAAAGCAAAGGGTACTTCGCACAGTGGTTCATTCCTGGAAGATCAGCATGTGTTAGCAGCACAGAGACACAATGAGGCTCTGGGCTGAGGTCATTGTCAGCAGGGCTCTCTCTCTGGGTGTCTGAGGGGGCATGTGGCAGTCGTGTGGGATGCAGGGCAGAGCCACACTGTGTGTCTCAGTGCGCCCCCCATCCCTGGCTCCTGCCCACCAGATGCCAGCCACATCCCTCAGTGAGAATTTGGGCCCTGCCAAATTCCCAGACACCTCCAAAGTGCCCTAGCAGCCTGTGACAGCAAGTGGTGACCTCTGAGGGGGCCTGTTAACATTTGTGTGCCCCATTCTTACATCTACTTTGAGATCTGCAGAAGCTCATACTTGGTTGGCTTTGTACAAGCACGTGTTATCAGTATGCAACAGATAACCTTAAAATAAGGTATACTGAGCTGAGCAAGTCCAATTTACTTGCTGCCAACTGCAAGTGAGGGGGGCGGGGGCTCCGCCTGCCCCCATGTGCATGGCAGCCGCATAGGTGAGAGTCAGTGGGTCTCCCGTCTTCATCTTCCCCAGCAGGCTGACCCGCCCACAGACACACCATTTCTCCTTTCTCCCCTCCTCATCCCAGGATGGTGTTTTTCCTGGAGGACGTGATGGCTTGTACGAAGCGCCTGCTGGAGTGGATAGCCGGCTGGCTCCCGCGCCATTTCATTGGGGCCATCCTGGTGTCACTCCCTGCTCTTGCAGTCTATTCACACATCACCTCTGAATTTGAGACAAACATACACGTAAGTAAAGGCCCAGTGACTTTGTTTCTGGACTCTTGGGGACTCCCTTATCTTTTTTGTTTGTTTTAGTAAGCCTGATGACTTGGGACAGCAATTTAAATATAGGCCTCTGAAGAGGTACAAAGTCTTTGTCACCACCTTCAGCTTGTCTTCTTAAAAGACTTGCCTGGGACAGAGGAACAGGCAGGGAGGGCAGCACGCAGCCTATCTAGATGCTCGAGCCTGTCACTGGCCATGGCCAGGGAGAGGTGGGTATGATGCTGCCCTGCCCAGCTCACACGTGACCTCTCCAACCTCACCTGCTGCTCACCGAGCTCCAAATCCATTATTTTCCTATGCATTTTACAAAGCAGCATCTGTCCTGCGTTTCCAGATAAGATATGGTGCTCACCTGTTGAACTGGCACAGTTAGGTGACTGGCCTCTGGGCTGGCTGCTGTCGATCAGGGAAGAAGCTTCCAAGTTAAACCCCATGAAGACTGAATTAATGCCCTTGTGGAAAGTTCTATTTTTGGTGAAAGTGTAACATGAGCTGCCAGGCGGGCTGACTGCATTTGATACTTTAACACCAAATTACATTTCCGTTGGCATGTAGCAGCATGCCTGAAGGAAGGCTTTGTAGAGGTAACCACCTACATGGTGGCGGTGTTGAGACGGGTGGCCTACCTTCCCTTTCCTCCAGAATGATGTGTGCAGTTTCCACACATCTGGAGGAGAGTTTTAGTGCCAGTGCAAGCTTACAGCCTAAAGCTTGGGGTGATTAATCCAACGATTTATGATCTGTCCCTGAAACTGCCAGATACTTTGCGATATTTGTGTTATTTTTATATCAAAAGAAAGATAAGTGAGTGAATCCTTTGATGTCAGCATGCTCAGCTGGAAGTGAGGCAAGGGGCCCACACAGCGAGGGCGGGATGGGTCACTAATTGTGCTGGCCCCTCGTTGCAGTTCACCGTGTTCATGGGCTCAGCCGTCCTGATCACTGTCGTGCACTACTGTAACTTCTGCCAGCTCAGCTCCTGGATGAGGTCCTCCTTAGCCACCATCGCTGGGGCTGGGCCCCTGTTGCTGCTCTATGTCTCCCTGTGCCCTGACAGGTAGGTCCACCACTGTGCTCTGCGTCTGGTGCCCTCGCCGGCTGGGACACCTTTCCTGACCTCGCTTCTCTCCCATCCATGCTTATGCCCTCTCCCTCTGCTCTACCAGATACTGTCAAAACATGACGTAGCTTCCAACATACACAATGTCAACATCCTAATGAAATGTCCAAACACTAATATGCAAAAGAAAGAAAAAGAAAATAATTCTTCATGACATAATCTGTATTTGCATATAGACATCCTCGAGTGATCCCTGCCTGGAAGACGTAGAGCGGTAGACACGTGCTTGAACTTACTTATGATGGAGAAGTAGGACCAGAAGCCGTTTCATACAAGATGATCAAGAAAGTGAAGGAGTAGAGGTATAGGGAGACACAAGAAAGCAAAGAGGAAGTTGGTTCTAACCTCATTTGAGTAAGGGTAATATACCCAGTTTGCAGGTTGCTGAAGGAAAGAAAGTGAAGAGGTAAGGTGCTCTTGCAAATGGCCTGGGCCTTATTTATAAATACTGACTCACTGTTGTGAGATGTGTGTCATGACGTGAAACGGAATGATGACCAGTCACTGGAAATATATCTTTTATCTTGAAGTCCTTCCACATAATGAAGAACACTTTTAGTCTGTGGTATTCAAATGGCCTTCAAAACCCTATCACTGGTAGATGCCAAGGAATAGATAGGATGGCATGGGAAAAGAAAGGATCTGTGGGAAAGACCCGGGGGGACAGGAGCGGTTCTTACCGTCGTGCTACAAAAGATGAAAATATATAGGATGGCAATGATATGTGCTATATATAAAACATCCTATATTCATGAAATCCAGTAAGATCCCTGTCTTTCACGTACCCTACTAATTGAATAATGTTTGATTCTTAGTCTGTTAAAAACAGGTCTCAAATTGATTGTTGCACATTTGCAATTGGTTTTGCAGCAATCAGCCTTTTTCAACTAAATATGTAGTTGGAAATACAGTGATATATAAGAGAGCGTAATGCTCACAGTGAGTGGTTCAGAAAGTTTAGGATAATGTCTTAAAACCATTAAGCTTCTGTTTCTGTAACAAACTTTTCCTAAATACTGGACTTTTTTGGTAACTGCTTATAAAAACATTTTACTATTAACGTATATTAAAAAACTGCTTTTTTATAATTACTGTGGGTCTAGGCTAGCAAGATATTTCAGAGTTACACAGAGCATTCCTTCATTGTGCCTTGCAGGACATCTAACATTCCTGGCTCCTCAAATAACCAGAAGGAGCCCCAGCACTTCCAAAATGCCCCCTAGGAATGGCATTACTGTTGCTGAGAACCATTGCTTTAATAAGTTCAGAAGTAGAAGATGATCCAATTTGTTGCAATATCAAATATGAAACCACCGTGGTGTATCTTTGGGTATTACCAAAGCAGTGGTCGGTAATGGACAAAGTAAGCATCCTTCTCCTCAGTTAGATTTTATAAAATATGACGACATGAAAGGCACTCAAGTATTCTGCAAATTAAGATCAAAAGGGAATTTTAAGCAGAACTGTCTTTCAGCATTTGAAAGGAAACTTTAATGAATAGTTAAATTACTTTAAGCAGAAAAAAGCGTACATTTCCCTTTTTGAAGGTATGGCCATCTGGAATTAGGGTCATTATGAAGCTCTTTCCCAAGAGCATGAGATTCATTAGTCTGCCTTTTAACCTTTTAAAAGAACCATGATAAATACCCCCCCAGCCACTCGCATTATCATTCATTCACTGGTGTGGGGCTTTTCCACTTGAATCTGGAGGGACCAGAGTGATGAGGGACCAACTCCATCACCTTTGTCCAGAATTCAAAGAGCAGATCTTGGGCTGCAGCTGAATCTCCCCTTCACCTAGTACTTCTCCCTACTTGCAGAATCCTTTGAGCGCATCCACCCGGCCATCACCACTGAGCCTCACAGGGTAGGAAGCATGGGGAGTCGTGAACACAAATACAGACAGGCCCCCTGTGTAGGGGAGGGGATTTCTGAGAACCACGCCAGCCTCGCAGGGGGACACAGACATAAAAAGGGCTGTGCACACGTGAAGAGGGACAGTGTCATAGTCGTGCCTAGGCAGGGAGAGAAGATGACATACGGCCTCAGAACGTGTCTGTGCTGTAGCTCTTGCTTTCTTTCCTTCCCCGTGAAGTCATCTAACACCTCCTGTGATGGTAAAAGCCACTCTAAGCCATCCCCTGGCCTCTGCTGCCCATGGGGAGCTGCTTGCAGAAGCTTTGTAAGGTCCCCCTTTGCAGTGAGTGGGCAGGCAGATCTAGCAGACCAGGAAGTGTGGGGGCACGAGGCTGATTTACTGGCCTGGGGGGATGCTGGGTGCAACAGGACCCCAGAAGAAGCTGTGAGGGGTATGGAAAGGGTACCACATGTTGCAGGTCCTGCCCTGACACCGAGAGAGCATTCTTTATTGTATGTGGTTTCCAAGCCCCAGGATGGGGATTTGATTGCTTTGGGCACACTGGGAGCAAAGTCTGGCCTCTCAGGTCAGCCAGCGTCTCCAGCAGATCCTTTCTAAATCAGTCCTTTGTCAGTGGGCATCGCTGTTGATCATGACTGGTTTCTAGCCTGTGGGATCACGTGGAAAAGTCCTTACGTCACACGAGTGCCTTAGAGACTTCTTGTTTGGTTTTGCTCTTTGGCGATGGTACCTCCCTACCTGATGTGAAGGCCTGTCAGCTGCGTCACTGTCTCTGCCTGCTGTGATTTTTAGTTCACACATGATATCAAATTATAATAAAGAATCAACTATCCTTATTGTCTGACTTCATCTCCATATTAAAAAAAGGGAAATTGTTTTTTAAACTCTTCTCTGTTTCACTTTATATAACGCCTTCTTTGCTTTTTATAATAATATTTTTCTGCATTTTAATTTCAGTTCCATAGTAATTTCACACCTTGATGCAGGACGGAATTTCAGGTGAGCTTTTAACGTCGTGCCTGTGTCTGAACAAACGAGGGTAACTGTATGAGTACTATGTCTTTCTCAGCTTCCTAAAAAGCAGTCGTATCTTGAAAAAAAAGAATTGTATGTAATTCTTAAAAGAATAAGTGGAAAATACCTACTTGTTGAAATATCAGATCATAGTTGTAATATCTTATTGAGAAAACGAATGATTGTTAAGAACATAGTAGATTTAGCTTAATTTTACGTAAGATGTCAGCATGTTATGCAGGAAATCTTTCAAGTCTAAGAAAGTACTTATTTTAACTCCCTAAAATATTTTGATGTTACTACTAGAAATTTGAAATAATAAATGCTAGACCCTTGCTTTACTATAAACATCAAACTAAAATCTATATCAACTGAAGAGTCAGAAATAAACATTAAATTATATAAAACTATATAAAAATCTAGAAAAAATAGAATTAGTTTGCAAGCCTCTAAGACAGAGGTAACTTTCCAGTCTTACAAATAATAAATAGAACCACACAGGCCCAAAAATAAAAGACTGATTGACACATTGATGGGGTCAGGGGAATCAGAGCAGGCGGAGAAAAGCATCTCTGGGCCGTTATATGAAGAGTTAAAACCTGCTTAAATAAAGGACAAAAACCAAAAAAATTTACAAGAGGAAATGTAGGGAGAAGCTAACTGTGTTACTACTGAAGTCATTGCACATTTAAATAACTACAAAATCCTTTTGGTCTTTTACATAGTACCTTCAAGATGTTACATTGTGCATATGCAGCCCAAGCAAGGGCTGGTACATTCATACCCACATTCATACCCGGGTGGGTGTTTATTTTGTTAAGCTGCCAGGCACTTATAACATATGGTTTATTTCTCATAATAACTTGACACAGTAGGTGACTTTGTCACCATTTTCCAGATGAGGAAGCTGAAGTTCAGAGAAGTTAAGGAACCTGTCTGTGGTCATACAGCTAGTCGTTGGCAGTGTTTAAATCCTGGCCTCCCTCACTACCAGGCCATGCTCTTTCTGCCAGGCCTCATTACTCCTCAGAATGGTACATAGTTTTGGAAAGTACTTTGATGATCTACGAAAGTGTTCATAGCCTTTGACCTAATAATTCTGTTTTTGCTTATCTACCGAGGGGATGATTCAGCATATGATAAAGGCCACCTGCCCAAAAATATTGATCACAATGGCTGATAACATTGAAAATCCATCAGCAACTTCAGTTGCCAATAAAAAGAAATGAATTAAATTATGACCATGTGCTCAGATATTGCTGCTGTTAAGATGCAGCAGTAAGAAAAACACCTACCATGTGAAATTGCATATGTCATGTAGCTACAGCCAGGTATTTCATTATATAGATGAAAAAAATGTAAAATATGTCATAGTTATGATCTGGTAATGAGTGATTTTTTTTGTTTCTACAATTAAAAAAAATCTCTGTGGACACATAGACAGTGGGAAGGAGATTTAAAGTATGGAACAAAGGTAGGATACAGATGTGTTTCTATGATGATCACGACTATAGCATTTAAAATAAAACACTTAGCTTTTTTAAAGCAAACTTTTTATTGACGAATATATAACATTGCACAGAAAAGCATCCAGATTGGCACTGAAATACACCAAAATGTTAACAAATTCCATGTTAAGCTGGTTAGACCATGAGTGATCTTTGTTTTCTGTTTTTCTCTCTGTTTTAATCCCTCTTCTCCATGATAATGAATTATACTATATTTTATTCTAACTTCCAATTATGACTTAATGTCCAACTATTAGGTCATAAATTGACTCTTGCATTTAGTCCCATAAAATTCCTCTTTCTGGAACTGACCTTTGCTATTTGAATTTGGGAATCTTTGTTCCTTGTGTAGTGGAATGAGAAATACAGGTTATCGATGGGAAGTGATTGTCTTTCCTACTTGTTCCAGATCTCTGTTGCACGGCAGCGCCTTGGGCACTAAGTGTAAATCTGTGTATTAGGACGCCCCTTTAAACAGATGAAAGCAAACATCACAGTCTGTTTCCCTTTCTCTCTGTGTTCCACAATTCCCCTCCTCTGTCCATAGGGTCTGGCCTGGGCCCCTCCCCAGAGTCAGGCCACGCTACAGCAAGGAAAGCAAGAGTAGCAGCCTGCTTGAGGAAAGCTAGACACATCACCCATTTCTGTCACAGGGCTACAAAGTCTGATTGGACCATTAAGATGATGTTAAGCCTTGGTGATGTCTACTCATAAAGGGGGCTGTTCCTCAATGTTACCACTTTGGAGAAACAGAAAGAAAGGTTACCTCCTAACCCAACAAGATGGACTCACCCAAGAAAAGACTTACTGCCTCCTGTTGCAGATTCTCTCCCAACTCCCAAGCGAGTTAGAAGGCTTGCAGGGCTGGACACAAATCTGTTTCAGTCATCTAAAATAATTCACTGTTTAGTACTTGAGATTCACAATATGTATTGCCATTTGATTAAATGACAGAAGAATAAGTGTGCTGTGTCTTACCATAGAGGCATTTTTTGGTTCCTAGCTCACAGGGGCCAAGTCATGGAACTTATGGCAGGGGTCCCCAAGACCACCCCCAGAAGAGGAATTCGCTAGGAGGATTCAAGACTCCACACATAGTCGTACTCGTGGCTGTGATTTATTACAGTGAAAGGACATAAAGCAAAATTAACAGTGAGAAAAGGTACATGAGATAGAGTCCAGAGGAAACCAGTTGCCAGCTTTCAAGAGTCCTGTCCCCGTGGCATAGTCCAGGACGCTCTGAATTCCTCCAGCAGTGGGCTTGGACAGTGCAGATGAAATGTTGTCCACCAGGGGAGCCCATCAGAGACTCTGTACCCTGGGTTTGTATTAGAGGCTGGTCACATAGGCATCTCTGCTGCGGGGACCAAAATTCCAGACTCTCAGAAGGAAGGCACAGTCTAGGCACGGTGAGCCCCTCTTATCAAGGAGGGGTGGGAACCTCCCCAAATCCAAGATCCTGATGCCAGCCTTGGGCACTCTTGCCAGTGCCTTTCTATGGATGGCAGCCTCAGGCCTGCTATGTTAACTGCTTTCTGCACAGAATCTGAGGCCAGTAGGGGCTTAGCGATACTCTGGCCCAGCTTCAATTTACGTGGGAGGAAATCGAGACCTAGAAATCTTGCCCAGGGTTCCAGAACTCTGCAGTGGTCCAGCTGGGACAGAGTCCCAGGATTCTTATTCCAAGGCCAGGACTTTTGTGACTGTGTTTTGTAGGGGACCATTATGGCCAGATTGGTCAAATTCATTATGTTTTGTAATGTTCTGAAGTCACAGGTAACAGTAAAACTTATTAAACGCTCTGATTACAGAATTGAGTTTTCAGTGCCATGGAGCTATCGAAACTGAGGACCCATCCATTTTATATATAATTATATTTATATAGTGACTCGACCCATTGACACATAAAATCTAGAAGCCCACTCTGTGTGCTTTAGAAGCACATCAGGGCCCAGAATTTATATGAACAGAGCAGTCACAGTTTTGTAAACAAACAGAAGAAAGACAAGAAGGAAATGCAACCCTCATTAACAGTTGATGGCCTCTGGATGATCAATAATGGATGAATCTTTTCTTCTTTCTGCGTTTTCCCCTAAATTTCTTCTGATGAGAATGTAGTATTTTTAAGTGGAAAAAGTACCTCTAAAAAAGAAGCTTTCAAAGAGACTGTGTTTGTGTTAATCTTCAGTCAGAGCTGTTGCTCGTCAGCACCATCCAACTACAGAACAGCCCCCCGCCCCCCAAGAGCAGGCTGTTATTGGAGGGAACAGAAATGAGAAGAGTGATGTGGAAATTTCTAATGGAATCATAAACGTGCAGTAGTTGAAGTGACTCAGCATTTCCAACTCCAGTAGTTTATCCCTTCTGTAGACTCCCTTCTATGCACGGGGATGGCATGGCGGCAGCATTCCCTGGGGGAAAGGGATGGGCACAGGCCAAATGCCCAGGATTGGACCCTGATTGTTACAGTACATGCATGTATTCGAATTTCTTGCAACCACAAGGAAACCACAACTTTCTCAAAGGAAAGACACTTATTTTATACCAGTTTATCCTGTTTGAGTTTTTCACAAGGTGCTACTCTTAAAAGTATACATATTGGGGCACTTGGCTCAGTTGGTTAAGCATCTGACTCTTGATCTCAGCTCAGGTCTTGAGCTCAGGGTCATGAGTTCAAGCCCTGTGTGGGGCTTCATGCTGGGCATGGAGTCTACTCAAAAAAAAAAAAAAAGTATACCTATTATTTGTAAAAATGTTAACGGTCTTAAATGACTTTGACAAAACAGAACTAACCCAGTAGGGGGTAATGGTACATTGGCGGACTTTTATACAAGTAGGCGATAAAGAACTTACACTCATTGTTTGTAAAATTACACATCTATCAGAACTAAAGTTGGATTAGAAATCTAAAAAGTGAGTATGTCAGAGAATGTTAAATTTCTTGGGTATGATGATGGTAGTGTGGTTACATAGGGAAATGTCCTTATTCTTAGGAGATGGGGACTGAAATATTCAGGATCGAAGGATCATGATGTCTGCAGCTTACCTTCATAATGTTCAGCGGGAAAGCTGTGTGCACGCGCATGTGTGTTGACAGAGGGAAAGAGCAAAGCCACAGAACGTCAGCAATTGTTGAATCCAGAAGAAGGGTGTACAGATGTATTATTAGTCTCTTAACTTTCCTATAGTGTTTAGAATTTTCAAAATAGAAAGTTTGTGGAAATGAAAAGATTTTTAAAATCAAGGAGCTAAAGACTCCTGAAGAACAAAGCAGTCGCCAAGTAGTTACTCAGAAATCAGTTACAAAAATCAGTCTTTATCTCCCCCTTCAGCCAGCCAGCTAAACAGGGTCAGGTAGCTTTTCGGTGCAGGTCATTGACACGTTGAACTCCACAGACCTTGGTGCAGAGTGCTAGTTAACTGGGCTGTTTCAGAACCCGCAAGTCCTGAGCAGCAACCTCTCTCTTAAAAGATGCACTTAAGAAGGTACGTCCTTTCTCTTCTCTTTACTTTCCAGTTTTGAGGGGAATCCGTGCAATAGTTCCTTGCCACGTGATGGCGGAACAGCCAGCCTGATTGGCCAGGAAGTGATTCTTGTCTTCTTCCTCCTGCTCTTGTTGGTCTGGTTCCTGAATCGAGAATTTGAGGTCAGCTACCGCCTGCACTACCACGGGGACGTGGAGGCGGACCTTCACCGTACCAAGATCCAGAACATGAGGGACCAAGCTGACTGGCTGCTGAGAAACATCATCCCCTACCACGTGGCTGAGCAGCTAAAGGTCTCCCAGACCTACTCCAAGAACCACGACAGTGGAGGCGTCATTTTTGCCAGCATCGTCAACTTCAGTGAGTTCTACGAGGAGAACTACGAGGGGGGCAAGGAGTGCTACCGGGTCCTCAATGAGCTCATCGGGGACTTCGATGAGCTCCTGAGCAGGCCAGGCTACAGCAGCATCGAGAAGATCAAGACCATCGGGGCCACATACATGGCTGCGTCAGGGCTGAACGGCGTCCAGTGCCAGGACGGCAGCCACCCGCAGGAGCACCTGCAGGTCCTGTTTGAGTTCGCCAAGGAGATGATGCGCGTGGTGGACGACTTCAACAGCAACATGCTGTGGTTCAACTTTAAGCTCAGGGTGGGCTTCAACCACGGGCCGCTCACAGCAGGGGTCATTGGCACCACCAAGCTGCTATATGACATCTGGGGCGACACCGTCAACATCGCCAGCAGGATGGACAGCACGGGGGTGGAGTGCCGCATCCAGGTGAGCGAGGAGAGCTACCGCGTCCTGAGCAAGATGGGCTACGACTTCGACTACCGGGGGACAGTGAACGTGAAGGGCAAGGGCCAGATGAAGACCTACCTGTACCCAAAGTGCATGGACAGCGGGGCCGTACCACAGCACCAGCTGTCCATCTCCCCGGACATCCGAGTCCAGGTGGACGGCAGCATCGGGCGGTCTCCCACAGATGAGATCGCCAACCTGGTGCCTTCTGTACAGAACATGGACAGGGCGTCTCTGGGTTCCGAAAACAGCGTGCAGGCCAAGGACACTCACCTGTCCTTGAAGAGGCTGTGGAAAGAGCCTGTCAAAACTGAAGAAAGGTGTCGATTTGGCAAAGCCATAGAGAAAAGTGACTGTGAAGAAGTGGGCATGGAAGAAGCCAGTGAGCTCACCAGGCTCAACGTTTCCAAGAGCGTGTGACGCAGCACCTGTCGCTGCCACGGTGCTCTGCTCCTCGAAACACAATCATGTTTGTACTTGCCTGTTGTGCGTCCCGAGCACCACAGCCTCCATCGCTGGATGTGGCGCTGCGTGGTCATTGCTCTGACGTCTTTGTGCGCCACACACATCCGTCTCTTTGCTTTTTGTCCCCCAGAGCCCTGTCCCCTGGGTGTGAGCGTCAGCAGCATGGAGAACAAGTGCCTTCAGGGGTGGCCCGGCCTCGCGTTTGGGGACACAGGCCGCCCGTGGAGATCGCGGCATTGGGTATTGCTGGACTTTTTAAACGAAGCTATAGTTAAGATATCATTTTTATTGCTTTTTCTCACAAGACCCTTTGGATTTTTGTTTTGTTTTTGCTCGTACAATGTTTTTGCGTGTTTTTTTTTTCCTGTATACATACTAGTGTTTTCCAGTGACGTGACGTTTCTATGTAAACGCATACACGCACACACTTTCATTTACGAATCTGAGATCAAGTGCCAGTAACTCACTGTGAGGGGAGGTGGGGGGGGCGTTGCGAGCAGCCCCCAGACAGGGTGGCCTGTGCCCTCCCAACCTGCACCTTCCAGAGCACCCGGGCCCTCAGGGGCCGTGGGGCATTAGGGCTTCCTCCCTGTGCAGGCCAAGATTGCAGATGCTAGCCAGTAGCAGAGTTTGTGAACCCAGGCCTCAGGTATTTAAAAGCCGTGTTTCATTCTGCCCCAGACACCAAGGGGTCTTCCAGCTGGGAGCGAAGGGGTTTGTCTTTGAAGCTGAATCCTCTGAGAGGGAAACTCAAAATAAACATCTGAGGGTTGCATTTATTTATTTATTTATTTATCAGGAAATGTGTGTTTTGGTGGAGGGGCGGCCAGGTCATTCTGGTGAAGGGACATAGGCTGGGTTGGGGGGAGGGGGTCTGTAGGGGGCACACAGAAGGATGAGAAGATGTCCATTAGTGCTTTGGCCACTCTGGGCCACCCAGGGGCTCCCCACACGGGCTGAGCAAGACCTGACTGGGCCCGGCCAGCGCACCCTGGGATGGAGGTGCTCTCAGCCACTAATGGGCACTGCCACTTCTGTCCCGAGGGCTGCAGATCCATGCCCTTGGGGCCCTCCCGCTGCAGAGCCCTGCCCCGCGTGAGGCAGGAGGCCTGAGCCGAGCACAGCGGTGGGCAGGCAGTGCCAGTGGGCTTGGCTTGCACATATCCGAGAAATTTCTCATCCTTTCCCGTTCTTGGCTTGTGCAGGGCCTGTGTGTGGCAGACTTGAACCCGGTGAATCCCAGCCTTCTTTAGATGGAGTTCTCACGCTGTGTGTAGAGACAGAATCATCCGCATTCACACGAGGTGCTGAGCTAGGGCAAGGAGAGAAAACCTAAGGAAAATCACTTCTGGGCCCTTTGTTGCTGATCCTGCCTGTGATGACGTTTTGCCATGTTGAGTCTGGAGGGTATGTAGAGTTGAACTGAGGCTTGTGTTGCCCTGTCATCGGCATAGTTACTTTCAAGGTGACTCTAGCGTACGGTTCACAGGATAGTTTGAGGACTAGCTCCTTCTCTGTTTGAGGTCTTCATCGGCATTCGCTGTGCATTTTCTTTTCACTGCTAAATCTCTGTATGACTATCACATCTACATCAAGTCCCATTATCAATCCCCCCCTCCCAAAATTCATCGAGAATCTGCCATTTCTGGCATCAGGAAATACTGATTCTGATGGGTCAGCTCCCCAGGGGGGACACGCGTGGGGTGGCCTCCCAGCAATGCAGCCATAGCCAGGATCTTGACGTCCCAGGGAGTCGAGAGCATTCTCAGTAACTAAGATCTTCCTTCAGGTTTTACTGTCAGTTTGTTGGTCTTCCAATGCTGGAGGAAGGATGGTGTGACAATACCTCTTGCTTCTAAAGAATGTATTCGTATAAGATACTGCAGAATTTTTATTTTTATTTTTATTTTAAAACACTACCCGACACTGTCCTTGTCCATAGGGACTGTGGGCATGTTAGGGACTCCTCCCATCAGTGTTGAGGCATGTATTTGAGTGTGGTCCTCTCCTTTTGCCTTCTGTCCTCAGGCTCTGTAGCTCTGGCAGCAGCTAAGGGGTTGGGTGTTTGCCAACGGGTCGCCTGCGTCTCCACTGTTCCACTCAGAACATGCCCTATAAGGTTCGTCTCTGCACATGCTTCCTCCCCAGCACATTCTCTTTTCCCTTCCCCTCCTGCAAAGGTGTTTGTGATTCCTGACACTGGGAAGCCGCAGACCGCAGGGAGAGGGTCTTAACATCTGGCAATCTGGTCCAGCAGCGTGCGCACTGGAGCCTTTGATGGTTGGCTCACCCAGAGTTTCAAATTGTCTTTTAAAAAAACACCCCGAGCCTTTCTAAATCACCAGTACAGATGTTCTCTCTGGGCCACCAGGCGACTTGGGTCCTTCCCAGTTCCCTGCCCTGAAGCATACCTCAACGCAGGAGCACAGAATCTCTGCAACAGAAACGCCATGTATCCAGCTCCGATGGCGTTGAACAGAGAATCACTGAGGACAGGCCCCTGAGCAGCGGTTCAAGTGCTACCAATACGACGGATGTGCTCTTCACAGAGGCAATACCTCTTATGAACTTAGGTCAGGAAGCAATACTTCAGAATTGAATGTGTGTAAATAGTCGCTTTGAGTTGCAATTGCCGTTTTCTTCTTGGCCCCAAGTCAGATCGAATTATACATATATATATATACACACACACACAGTATGTATATGTGTGTGTGTGTGTGTGTATATATATATATATATATAAACAAGCACACCTAATTTTATCCAGTGCAAACAAATGTAGAGCATCAGTTATGAAGCCCTGAAGTAGCTTGAAGAGTCACACCGATTATGCAACACCTGCACACGACTCCATTAACCCTGACTCCGCACTTGGAGGCAGCACCTGCACATTTGCACACGACACTGAGAGCCAGAGGGCCGCGTGCTTCCCGCTACGTGGGCTGTAATAATGTGTAGTTTCCAAAGATCTGTCTGCGTTTGCATTTCTAGATTTTTGAGGTAAGCGTTTTTTTGCTGGTTGTTTCAGAAAATCACATCATGCCTAGAACCTGAAATTAAATTAACAAGAACCAACTGTTTGCATTTTCCATCTTTCCTTCACTCTGCTCTTTTTAAATTGTTAACTCTATTTCAGAATGCATCCACTCAAGAAATGGATATTAAAATATTCTAAAATCTAAATATTTGATGCCTGGTATTTCCTCGTTGAAAAGATCAGTTAACACTTCAGAAATCAGGGCACTCCTTAATCCCTGAGATTTGTGGCTAAAATAAGAAGATTTGCTTTTCTTTCACATCATGACTTTGAAAACAAGACAACTAAAAAAAACAAAAACAACAAAACAACCCTATTTATGTATGTGGTTTCTTTCTTTTTGTTTAATGGACATATTTGCTACAGTTAATTTTGACTGAAAAATATTTTTATATGGAAATTAAAAAAAAATAAAAGGTTATAGGACAAGTTTGGCTTGCAACGATATCCCTATTTTATTAGGCCTTCTAAATCGTTTTTCCTGCAAGATCTTAGGAGAAGGAATTGACTGAGAAAATGAAGTAGGTTTTCTGAAAAGACACACCCACACAGCCTGTTCCTGGGGGTGTCTACATCAGGGGAAGTCACAGACCCATCCCAGAATCCATTTAAAGTCACAGTCACTCTTCCCCAAAACACATACATGCCATTTGTGCGTATCTCAGAGGTTCACAACACCTCCAGGTCCGAAGCAAAACCATAGATCTATTGGGGTGTAGAGCCTTTTCCCCTACGAAATCTTTCCTGGTGACTACAGTATTTATCAGCAACTTCAGAGCACAGGATCCTCTTGTAGACTCAGCAGAGGGAGGTGAAGATGTGGTCCCCCAGTCCTTGTTCATCACCTCACAGGGATCAAGCTTCTAGGTGGTTCTCTGCTGGAACCTGGTGCTTATGAGGGCACTACAGGTTGATGCGGGCATCCTTCCCTCCTGAGCCCTAGGAAACTTTCTGGAGGTCAGGGAGGTGTGGTCTGTGCTGCACCGGAGGTCATGTGAGAGCGTGGGTCTCTCTACTCGAAGGGGTGCCCTGGGGACTTCTGAGGACTTGGCAGTCACGAAAGACAGCCCCTAATTTTTTGCAGTAAGCCTCAGAACTTAGCCTTTGTGGTTTCTCTCTTGCATGTGGTTGCTTTTCTCTGCTGTGGGGAATCTCCTTGTGGCCACCTGGAATAGATCCCGGGTGCGAGGAAAAGGAAGCTAACTGGGGAAGAGATAAGTAAAAGGAAGTGATTAAGAAAAGTACACACTTGCACACCCTATACGTGTAAATTAAAAATCTTCCCAAGTGTCTATACAGTTCCTATGTGAAAATTGTTTTTTTTTAATTATGTGACTCCAAAGAGTTGTCACTATATATTAGAGTAACGTAAGTTTGGGGAATTCTCCCTGTTCCCTTTGGGCCCGGATGCCAGAAGGAGAAGCAAATTAAGTGGTTGTGTATAAGGAGCCAAGGGCCTCCGAAATCTCAGTCATCGAAAGCAATGATCTTAACAAATCTTGGCTCACAGAGCCTGTGATAATTTGATGACAGTTGTGGCTCCTTTCTTCAGAAACACACACACACACACCTTCTTAATGTTGCATACAATTTCATGAGTCCCCAGATTCAAATAAAGTACCCCCGATCTGCAACAACTAAGGAATGATGAGTTTTTGTTATAACTATCTGCAGGTGAGGTTTCCAAGCATTTCTGGACTCCATTGGAAATTTGGTTCACCATGTTAATGCTGCTTTGTTTGCATATGCATTCCCAAGCAAATGATATTTTCGTGTTTTATGTTTGGATTCGCTAAATATATTCAAGGAGCCACTCAAAGGACTTTACAGTTTCACAAAGTTAGTCAAATTCTTCCCAACAAATAAGGAACACTCAGCCAGCTGAGTACCTACGATGTGCCAAATAATGCCAAACCTCCCTTTATTTGGGCTGTTGAAGTTGCCACGAGGCTTGAGAATATTCGAGCAACAGCCATGATCAGAGACACTGCTTTTCCTATTGCTTTCTAGCTGCGAATTCTTCAGTAGGTGGAAGGGCGGTTCCAGGTATCTAGGTTGGCACAGCGATGTCCTCTCCTTATTGATTTGTTTACACAGTGGCTTCTCAGTGTCATCTGTAAACAAAGAGATGATTTTTGTATTCATGGTCTTAAAGAGTATTCAGTCTTTGAGGAAAGAACAACGCATGAGAAGCAGAGAAAACAACTTGTACCCGCATTGTGTTGGTCCCTCATGGGGAGAGCAGGCCACTCAACGTACAACTCGTGAAATCATCTGTTTCCATTGTTAAAACCATCCTCCAGATGGCAGTTGGGGCCCCAGCATGAGGGTCTCAGAACAAGGCACTGGCTTGGACTGATTTGGCTGGTGGGAGCCTTTCCGGGAGAGCACCACCCAGTAAGGTGTCTCCCTGCCCTCCCGGAAAGAAGTGCCGGTGGCCAGGAGGGGTGGGGGCGGTGAGCAGAGGTCTCTGCCCGTCCTGTCTCCGCCCGTCTCTGTCCTGGGCCCTGTCACCAGGCAGGCAGCAGCTTCTGGCAGGGGGCAATCTTCTGAACAAATTGCTCTCTCGTTTTTCTCTTTCTTGCTCTTCTCAGCAAACAAAATTCTTGCCACATAGGTTGGAAGGGCAGTGGATGGTGTCAGGAGGAATTGTTTGGATTTGTCCACGTGATCCCGGGAAAAGGAAGAGGAACGGGAAAGGGAAGAGCTGCACACCTACACGCTTGCGGGACTGACTCCCTTGTGATATCCTTGTGCCCAAGGCAAACTTCACAGCTCACCGTGGCCTTGCTTGGGAAGATCTCCATTCACCTTCTCCCTGGCTTCCAGCCTCTTGGGTCTCCAGCCCTGACCTCTTGGGAGTCCTCCCACCAAGGACCAGCCAGCCCCACCTCACGGACAGCCATGCCTCTCCAAGGACACAGGTGCCTCCATTCTACCAGCTCCCCACCCCCCTTCCACTGCTCTCTTTGACCTCCCAAGTAGGTTTCAGTTCCATGCCAGATGCCATCCTCACTGTCTAACTTCAGGAATACCGATAAACCTACAGAAGCACAGTGAGCTGCCATTTTATTGATTGAAAGAAAATAACCTTTTGGCCACTACATTCAGTTCTCACCTAGGCAAACATGTCTCATAAAGCACATAAAGCAGTTTCCCGTTACAGCTTCCACCAAAGAACTCAAGACACAGGGGACCCCTTGGTCTTCATAATGCCTCACCTATGTGGGTAGGCAGAGGTGTTTTTTCTGTACAACAGATTGCAGAGCTGAACTTAGCGGAGGGTCTTGTCCCGGTCCAGCCGGTTGCAGCCCAGTTCCCAGCTACAGAGCTGGAACCCGGAGCATGCTGCCAAATCCATATGACTGCCTGTCATGGCTTCCCCCTTCCTTGCCAAGAAAGAACTAAGAATCCAGGGGGTGGAGTGGGTCATCGTGCAATTAAATGGTGAAATTAGACAGTAGGTCTCTCTGTGCCCAAGTACACGTAAAATACATCTCCCCTTCTCCCTCTCCCCTTCTTTTTATAAGACTGGCTACTTGAATTCAATGTGGAATATTTAAGTGATTACCTAGTGTGTGCTTACAATGGAGACGTTTTAAAATTATTCCAGTGTCCATATGGACTTGTGTCCGTGTGCTAACCAAGAGCGCCAGGGGAATGCAGAGTTTGCAGCTCGTCAGTGCCTTCAGAAAGATCTGTGGAAAGCACAGGTTATATTGCTGTCCCGTCCTTCCTGCAAACAGAACAGAAACAGATCGCTTACCTTTAACACAAAATCAGGTTTTCCCCCCTTAACTGTTGATTACACAATAAATTATTATGTATAATGTTAGGTCATTTTAAAAACATATCTGTACATCTCAAGTATTTCAAGGAAGTGTTAGAGAGAGGGAAAACTATAACTTGGCTGTTTAACTTGAAATATCATAGAACATAATTTGCAGTTTCCACCAATTTGGGGCTCTTGGGTAAAAAATGGACTTTGTTGACTATTCACAAAGGACTGAGGAAGTCAGTAGTTTAATTTTTAGCAGCAAGTCTCGTTATGTGGTGGGTTGGTGGAACTTTTCTTTGGTAGTTTTGGTTTGCTGGAATGTTATCTCTTCCTCCTCAAGAGTAAAGACTTCTGATGGCATCACAGATATGTTTGGAATGTTCATTTAGCACAGAAGAATATGGCTGAATATTGTTCCTGATCTCCTGTTTTTATTATTAATTGCATGATGAGTTGTACTTCCCAAAAATTTCTGTCACGGACTTCCATAGACTTCTAAAGATCCTAATCTACCACAATACCTGGAGAGCATTTGGATTTGTTTGTTTGTTTTTAATATTGAAAAATGTAATTTACATGAATTTTCAGGAAATTAGTTCAATTGATACCTAACAAGATAAGGTAAAACTATTTGGAAAAAATAAAAAGATTTGAAGCAGTCATCCAGATAATTTAGGATAAAAGCATCCTTTTTCCTAAAATATTGCTAATGAGACAAAGTGAATGGATTGCACGAATCACACAATGATCCAAATTCTTCCATTCACGTTTCTTGCGCAACCAATACAAGGGGTCATTTCCATGCTTTCAGTATCTCCTTTCCAAACTTCCTCATCTCCTTCAACCGCCCGTTTTGCAGAATTACAGTAGGCACAGACCTGTGTGCTTTGAGAGGAAACTTAGTGTGTTCTAGTGAACATACCATCCAAAACTCTGCCTGTGTTCCCAACCAGTGGCTCCTGCCACTGCCTCAAACACAAGACCTCTGTCATCAGTGCCCACAGCAGCAGTCCCTTCGATGACTTCTAGCGGGAGCATGGCCAGTGTCAGCGTGAACGTCCGTGTGCCCTGAGACAGCCGGGCAGTGAGCAAGAGACTAACTCCCCTTCCCCTAGTTCCTCTGCCGTGCAAGAAGACAATGTCCAAGCACCTACACGGCGCCTACCCTCCTGCTGCCTCCTTGTCTTCTTGGTGAACTCCGGTGTCCTTCATGTCGCGCTTGTCACACTTTCCCCACCCCACCTCGTCTGCACCTCACACACGGGCCCAGCTTGGGGGCCAAGCCCCTCGCCATAAACCGCCACCAGGTCCTAGGCGAAGCCTGTGGCACCCACTGCCCTTCAGGAAATAATGTGCAAGACCCTTCTG